ATCTCTAAATCAGATTCATATCAGAGATAATGAGCTGAAAAAGAGATCCAGGCTATTTACCTAATATACCTCACTATATCCCATAGTGAGGAATATTTACCTAATATTCCTCACTATAGGATTTCAATAAGAAGTACGTAACAACCAGATCATGGAACAAATTCTCTTTGGGACTTTAAATTAAGAGATTTTTTGTCCTGGGGGAAAAAGTACTTTGTGGTTATCAAGAAACACAACTAGAACACAGCAGATGGCTGAGTTTGTAAACATTCTGGTGTTTAGGGAAAAGATTGCCCAATCCAGGAAAATGTTCTGAAATGCTAACCACTCCCACATCTTTTCATGTTGATAGCTCTCTGCTCTTTATATATATTGATACGTGTGAATCTCTATGTTCTTTGATCTTACAAATAATGAGACTTTCTTCATTAAAAGTATAAGCTTGGAATTAAATACAAACTCATAATTTGTATTCAGTTGTGTCCAATTCTGGGCACTACAACTGAAGAGAGATATTGACAAGCTGGAATATGTCCAGAAGAGGGCAGTTAAAATGATCAAGGGTCTGGAGAACAAGCCCTATGAGGAGCTGCTTAAAGAGCTGGGCATGTTTAGCCTGCAGAAGAGAAGACTGAGAGGGGAGATGATAGCCATGTATAAATATGTGAGGGGAAGTCACAGGGAGGAGGGAGCAAGCTTGTTTTCTGCTGCCCTGGATATTAGGATGCAGACAATGGCTTCAAACTACAAGAAAGGAGATTCCACCTGAACATTTGGAAGAACTTCCTGACTGTGAGAGATGTTCAGCAGTGGAACTCTCTACCCTGAAGTTTGGTGGAGGCTCCTTCTATGGAGGCTTTTAAACAGAGGCTGGGTGGCCATCTGTTGGGGGTGCTTTGAATGCGATTGTCCTCCTTCTTGACAGGGGATTGGACTGGATGGCCCACGAGGTCTCTTCCAACTCTATGATTCTATGAGATCCTGAGAAGGATCAAGATATTGGTTACAACCTGCCATACTACCAAGTTCTTGACAACTTTGTCATCAAAGGTATTATCAATGTTATTGGAATGGACTTCATTATGAAGCACACCAAACAAAAATATTTTCAAATTTTGTATAAGCTTCAGTATCATGTTCTTAATGTGGAGCTATCTGATGCTAACTTGATCTGTTTCATTACATAGGCTAAACAAACATCTGGGCAATGATATACCTTATCGATGTGTCTAAAGACGACAAATTTAAAAATAAAAAAGTTATGCCATGATCCCATTTTTTCTGGGAGTTTATCTTATGCCATTACCATAAACATCAAAGCAACTGTGAATGTCAGACTTTCAACAAGATGCACCACTGTAAAGAATTCTCTGCTCCCTTGTTATCATTCTAAAACAATGTAAGGCAACACAACAAGACAATCCTTACAGCATTGATGAAGAACCCCAAAACCATGTGCCACAGCCATCACATGACACGTTATTTGAAGAGCAACACATCCGGACAGTAATAGGCACATTACACCATAGAATCCACTTAGGAAGCCCTTCCAAGGATATTTGTGTCAATTTCCATAGTGTAACAATGTTTAAAGGCAGCTGAGAAAGAAATGAGATGCCCTTGAACTATTTGGAATTCTAATGATCTAAGTACACATTGAGCAGCTCTTATCTGGTATTTCAAAATATCCAGTGTCCAAAATTGTACACAAGCCTTGCTGAGATAGTGACACCTTTGTTTTCTGATGGCTCAATGTACACCAACTTGGTTTTATACACAAAATTATTATTAAAATAATTGGGCTATGTGCCTAAGGTGTATAAGAAAAATACTGTTTTAATCTTATAAGCATCAGAGGATTTTTCTGAATGTTCAGAGGATGAGGGGGATGATGGGTCTGTGAGTGATCAGAGGGAATTGCAGGCAGATGAGGCTGGTGCTTTGGATTCTCCAGGCTGACGTTTTGGATTTTTCAGCTCATTCCCAGGCAACAGGGGAAAATGAAAGTACCAGTTTCATGGCCTTAGGCTGATGGGGAGGTTTTAAAGGAACTTAGATCAGACCTGAGAACACAGGGTGTCAGCAAACGAGATTTTCTCAGAGATAAGGCTGAGAAGAGATCCAGGTGTGTGAGGAAAGATGTTATGGGTGATTTGGAAGGCTTAAATTAGTGGGTAGTTTTCAGGCCTTTCAGAGGAGACAACGTTGCTGTAGGAGGCTGTTTTCCTCTGTCTGCTCTCAAGTTCTTGGTTCAAGTATTCTCAAGTTTCTTGTTCTTGTCTATGCCTCTGTTTCCTTGGAGTTTCCCTTGGAAAAGTTCCTGTTTGGCGTACTGCTGTGGATTTTGGTTTCCTTGGCTTTATGTTCCTTGTCATTTTTGCTATTTTGTATTTTCCATTCTACTGACCCTTTTCGAACGGTCCCTTTCTCCCTTTTTATCTACTTTCTTTAATAAACTGGACTCTGGTGTGGTGCTGGGTGAAAGATTGTGCTAGATTGCAGCAGATAGGTGATTTTAGCATTTAGACTTGAGTCCCACCTCCAAGATATATCAACATGTACAGGTATGCAAATACAAGTATTCCAAAAATCCAAAACATTTCAGGTAAGAGATTTAGCCCGTACCATCTTACCTACAGTTTCTACACATGCCGAAATCTGCCTCTTTGCAAAGTTTCACTCTCTTATAATCTACTTGAGAGCAAATTCCTTGGTTGAAAAGGACATGTATGGAAACAAACACAGATCTGCTACATCGCTCTTCATGAGCTATAGCACAAGCTCTCACCACATACACCAGGAAAGCCAGGCTCCCATGCCCTGTACTACAAACTGCTAAAAACCACCACATGCTACTCCTTGCGCAAGAGACACAAAATTAAAAACCCTTATCCTCTCCATCCTCCAAAGAAGCCTCTAAGTTATAGAAATAGTGCACTTTGACACCCCTTTAACTGCCATGACTCAGTGCTATGGAATCATGGGAGATGTAGTTTTACAAGCTCTTCAGCCTTCTCTGCCAAATAGTTCTGGTGCCTCACCAAACTAGAAACTCCCAAGATTCCATTGTATCGAGCCAGGGCACTTGTTGGTGTCAAACTGCAGTAATTCTACAGTGTAGATGCACTCCAAGACACTCCTGGAAACAAAAGGCTGAGCACTCCCAAGCCTCTTTAGAGGACTTTTGTTTGCTGCCTGTTTCATCAAGTAAGCATCTCTTCAGGGAGGGGAGACAAGCAAGCAAGGTGCACAGACACAGCATCGAGGCCAAAATCTGGGTCTCACCGAGGCGTTTGCAGGACGGCTGTGAGCAGTGGGCGCCTAGATCTGGAAACTCCATGGCACTGGATGGCAGGCTGGACCCAAGCACAGGTGGAGCAGCAAAAAAACCCACCTGCAGGGAGGAAAGCAAGAAATAGAAATGTCAGTAGAGGGAGGCCGGAAGGAAGAAGGAAAGGAAGGGGGGAAAAGGAAGGATGCATGGAAGGAGAGAAAGAAGGGAGAGAGAAAGAAAAGAGGAAAAGAAGGCAGAAGGAGGGAAGGAAGAAAAGGAAGAATGAAAGGAAAGAAAGGAGAGAGAGAGAGAAAAGAGGAAAAGAAGGAAGGAAAGAGGAAAGGAAGGAAGAAAAGGAAGAATGAAAGGAAAGAAAGGGGGGAGAGAGAGAGAAGAGGAAAAGGAAGGAAAGAGGAAAGGAAGGAAACATGGAAGGAGAGAAAGAAGGGGCAGAGAGAGAGAAAAAGAGGAAAAGAAGGAAGGAAGGAAGAAAAGGAAATAAGCATGGAAGGAGAGAAAGAAGGGAGAGAGTGAGAGAAAAATAAAAGAGGAAAAGAAGGCGGAAGGAGGGAAGAAAAGGAAGAATGAAAGGGAAGAAAGAAGGGAGAGAGAAGGAGAGAGAAAAGAGGAAAAGAAGGAAGGAAGGAGGAAAGGAAGGAAGAAAAGGAAACATGGGAGAAAAAGAAGGGAGGGAGAGAGTGAGAGACACGAGGAAAAGAAGGAAGGAGAAAAGGAAAGTAAGGAAACATGGAAGGAGAGAAAGAAGGGAGAGAGAAAAAAGAGGAAAAGGAGGAAGGAAATGAAAGAAACATGGAAGGAGAGAAAGAAAGGAGAGAGAGAAATGAGGAAAAGAAGGAAGGATGGAAAAAAGGAAGGAAGAATGAAAGGAGAGAGGGGAGGGAGGGAGAGAGAAAGGAGGAAAAGAAGGAAGGAAGAAGGGAAGAGTGAGAAGGAAGGAGGGGTGCTGTTGTTGCGGGGCAGGATCGTAGCTGAGACCTAATCCCTCTTCTGTGGATTAGAAAGTATAGGATAAAATTATTATCACTACTAATTATTACTGTTATTATAAAGGTTATTCATATAGTGCTATCAAATGTGCCACAAAAACAATGGGACACAGTCTACAATATGCGTGTGTACATACACACAGAGAGAGCAGCAATATCCAGTTTGCAAAGCAAAGCAAAGCAAGCATTTATAAAGAAGGAAGGGCCAAAAGAAGGGAGGAAGGCGCTCCTGGCCGAAGGGGGAGCCCCTGGGGAGGGGGGAAATGGGAAGGGAAGGGCCGCGGGGAGGAAGCGAAGGGGGACACGTTTACCCTCCAGAAGGAACCAGGCTCCACCTCCTCTGCTGCAAACGACGAAGCCTCCTGGGCTGTTTCCACCTCGCCCCACTTCCGCGCTGGGGCCGATGACGTCATCCCGCAAGCTCCTCCCAACCAAGTTTTTAGACTTCAGCTCCCAGAATTCTTCACAGTTGGCCAACCTGGCCGGGACTTCTGGGAGTTGAAGTCCAAAAGAAACATGGCGTTCGAGACTAGGCCCGAAGAGAGCCGCCCCGTCGAGTGTCCCAGCCAATGCCAGTCCTCGAAAGGAAGGGACTCGGTTTACCCTTGCTGGGGAATGAAGTCCCGCGCGCCGCGCGTGCGCAGTCCTGCCTTTGAGTTTCCGGCGCCGGGGAGAGAAGCGAGAGCCGGCATGGCGCGGTGCATGACGGCCATTGGAGTCCTTGGGCGCCTCGCTCCGGCTTTCGCCTCGTGCCGGGCGTTGGCAAGGGATTCCGCCGGCGCTTCTCGTTCCCTTTAGCGCTGGAAGCCTCTGCGCGCGGCGTTCTCGGCCTCGGCCGGAAGTGTACCCATGGTAACGACGGGCGGATCGGGTTGGGCCGGAGGGGGCCGAGCCACCGCCCGCCCCGGAGCCGGTAAGCACACAGGGAAGGGGCTGCTCGGCACCACCGCCCTCAAGAGGAGCCTCAGGCGAAGGGAAGGGAAGGGAACAGGAGGGGGGCTTTGGGTCCTTTCCCTCGAGAGTAGGACAAACCCCGCTTGGCTGGAGTTGTTTCCCCGCTTTTATGCTCGGCCTTCTTTGGCTTGTGTTCTTCACAACTCCGCGTGTTCTGCCGGCATGCCATCTTTAGGGCCGCGTGTACACTGCAGAATGAATGCAGCTTGGCCCCACTTGAACTGCCGTGGCTCAATACAACTCTCAATCCTGGGAGATGTAGTTTGACAAAGTCTTTAGCCTTCTCTGCCAAAGAGTGCGGGTGCCTCTCCAGGCTAACATTTATTTTATTTTATTTATTTGCCCTATTTATACCCCGCCTTTCTCTTACCTTCGTATTGACCCGAGTATAAGCCGAGGGTGAGAAATGTAGCTGCTACTGGTAATCGTCATGTTTTTGAGTATTTACACCAAACTGTGATTTAAGGTAAGACTGCCCAACTCTGATTCAACCATTATTCTAACCTCCTTCAATGTAAATGTGCTTACCTATTACCTATAGTGATAGAATAAAATAATAACTGTAATAACATGTAATAAAATAATAATGGAAATTTAATAATAATAATAAGAAAGTAATAAATGTAATAATAACAATAAGAGTAAAATAATAAATGCAATAAATATAATACTACAGGAAAATAATGTAAATGTAATAATAATAGAGTAAAATAATAAATGTAATAAAAGTAATAATAGAGTAAAATAATGGAAATGTAATTATAATAATAGACTAAAATAATAAATGCAATAAAATAATACTAATAGCAGAGTAATATAATAAATAACCTTGACTCGAGTATAAGCCAAGGGTTTTTTTTTTCAGCCTAAAAAAGGGGCTGAAAAACTAGGCTTATACTCGAGTATATACAGTATTCAATGCCTTAAAAGACATACAATTCCAGTAACATTACAATTAAAATTAATACATATTAAGCATTTAAAATGTTTACATTACATTCAATATAACTCACGACATCCATAATCATAGTCCAAAGATGTTCTGTAATCATTACACATACTCCAAATCTGTTATTGCACTGCACTGTTCTCTGACATCTTGATCCCAAAACCAAGTTTTTACTTTCCTTCTGAGGGCTAGGAGGGAGGGGGCTAATTGAATGTCGCTGAAGAGGGAGTGCCACATCTGAGGGGCCACCACTGAGAAGGCCCTGTCCCTTGTCCCAACCAGTCGCGCTTGCGAGGAAGGCGGGACAGAGAGCAGGGCCTCCCCAGACGATCCCCAGCTTTCCATAAATTTGAGTCATGGCAGTTAAAGTCATGTCAAACTGCATTCTACAGTGTAGATCAGCCATGGGCCGACTTCGGCCCTCCAGGTGTTTTGGACTTCAGTTCCCACAATTCGGCTGTTAGGAACTGTGGAAGTTGAAGTCCAAAACACCTGGAAGGCCAACGTTTTCCCATGGCTGGTGTACATGTACCCCAGGGGGTAGTTGGGCAGCCACTCCACGTATGAGTAATAGTGTGCATTGGTTTTACCTGTGCCTATTTCCTTGTTTCAGTCTGTTCAGTCAATGTTCCTTGTTATTCGTTTTCATGATTTGTGATGCCTGTAAGCCAAGAGTTGTTCCTCCCCATTCTTTCACTTTTGTCATCGTCAGTCTCATAAATCTGCTTGGTCATTATCATAATGAACTGGGGAAAACGTTGACTTGCGTAAGTACTGCTATCAAGTCAGATGTTGAGCTTCTCACCTGATTTGTCTCAGACAGAGTGTTGTACAGTAGGCCCTCCATATCCACAAATTCAACCACCCTTCTTCTTCCTAAGCAATTTTCCCAATTGAGGGAGAGGTTAGCATTGTGACTATCATATAACAACAACAACTTTATTCTTATATCCCGCCACCATCTCCCCGAATGACTCGAGGTGGCTTACTTGGGGGCCAAGCCCAAAAAAAACAGAAGTGAGATATAGTACAATTAATATCAAAACAGATATCCGAACAGAGGATAGACAGGAGATGTCAATGCCTTGGTCCTTTCATTGCTGGCTGCTACTTCCCGGCGGATATCAGGTAGTGCGATGTCAGCTAAACAATGTAATTTCTCCAGTGGTGTTGGGCGTAGGCATCCTGTGATAATGCGGCATGTCTCATTAAGAGCCACGTCCACAGTTTTAATGTGGTGAGATGCATTCCATAATGGGCATGTGTACTCAGCAGCGGAATAGCAAAGTGCCAGGGCAGTGATAGTGATGAGATTCTTTGATGGACTTGTTTAAACAGAAGCTACATACTCTATGATGCTGCAGTTGTATTTAGCAAAGTTTTTGCTAGTTTAAGCAGATTCTCCCTCATAGCTCTCCACTTCACTTCAGGTTTGTCTAGAAAATTGTCAACCTTCTGGAGCAAATGGGAAGACTGTATAATTTTCACCCTTTTTAATTAGCAGAGACCTTTGCAAGTTGAAAGTCCTTCTATGAACAGTAGAGCGCCATATTTTAATCAGATTTATTTTTAGTAAGAGTGTGTGAGCCCTGCTGGATCGGATAACAGCCATTTAGTCAAGCATCCTCTTTTGCTCAGTGCCCAGAAACAACACAAAAAAGACAGTCATTGTTGGAGAATCACAATAGAGAAAACACTAGAGGTGCCAAAACCAATGATAAGCATGTTTGTATAAATAGAGTAATACATTCAAAACATACGGAATACTATAATCAAAACATTTAGAACCATCAAAACATATGCAAAATATACAATACATTTCTTATTAATATCCATTCTGACTAAAAGCCTTTTCTTCAAAATATAAAGACTATTTATAGCAATCAATTCTGAGAACATGGTTTTATCTCACTAATACTTAAGCTTCCCCATATCATTCAAGAGGCGCAATATGGTAATAAGCAAGGATAGTCCATAAGTAACACATTGATTAAAAAAACCCAAAAATACATATAAGTAACATAATATCTAAATATTAGAAAGAACTAATTTCATTTTGCTTGCTTGTTCCTCTCATAGGGAAGCAGGTTTTGGTACTTGTGGGATTTTCTGCCTCTGTGCCAAAATAACATGGTATCCCTGCTCTCCCCATATCTGTATTATGGGGATTATACAACATCATTTTTCACAAGTTAGTTAATGGAATTTTAGCAAGCAAATATACATATATTACCTTGAAGATTGATAAGTGCCATATACTAGTATAGAAGACACTTTGCTCTAGCGACATCTACTATGAATATAAGAAAAAAAAGACAATCTCCCCATCCCATGCAACTCTCTTTGCCCAAATATCCCATAAAGCTGTGAAAGGGAGTAAGTGTAGGCATGGGCAAAGGGGAAGCTTCATCTTGTTCAGGTAATAGGAATCTCACTTGGACTGAAGAACCTTATGCGAATAAGTACCGGTTGAGTATTCCTTATCCAAAATGTTTGGGATCTGAAGTGTTCTGGATTTTTAAAAAAATGTTTTTTGTGTTTTATTGGCACATAGTATTACCTAAAGTTAATTTTATAGATCTTTAAAAATTAAAATAATGTTGTGCATGGAACAAAGTTTGTGCACATTGAACACCAAAGGCAAAGGTGTTCAGCATTCCAGATAAGAGATGTTCAGTCTGCATTGTTAGAACTACCAGAGGTTTAGAAAGGATGAGTTGTTGTAGCAAGGAAGACAGTGTCATGTAACACCTTTGCACCTAACAAATTAATTATGTCATAAGCTTTTTGTGGCTGAACTGTGTGAGTGAACTAGTGATTTCTCAGGGTTTTTAAAACTCTTCTTTCAGGGTTTTTTTGGGGGGAGGGGGGAGGCAGTGATGAGGAGGAAATAGCACAAAACTGTTTAAAATCTTTGGGGAAGTTTGATTATATTGAAATGTGGACACTAAGTTTGGGTTTGCTGTGAGTAGAGTCCAGAAATACTCTAGAAATTGTAGAAGCAGAGTGTGGATGGAGAAGGAGGCATCAAGAAAAAGGGAGCAGCTGAAGCTCAGTTGTGCAGAGGGCCTATTGATGGCTTGTGCTCAGTATTTTAAAAAATCCAATCAACTGAGTATTGTTTCTTAGGGCCCTGTGACACTACACTGTCATGTCTCTATTATCCCACTTTAATTGCCCTTGGCAACTTCTTATGATGTCCTGGGATTTACCATTGAGGAAGGGACATTTAGAATCCTCATACAGAGAGCTCGTGGGCCTCACTGAACTTCAAAACCCGGAATTCCACACACTGTTGCCATGGCAGTAAAAGTAGAATAATAGTGCTATAACAGTGTGGCGTGATAGAGCAATCCTTATCACTCTGTACTATTATAACACTTTGTTATAAAAACAGGCTGGGAAACTGGGGTGTATAGTGAGGTCCAAGAGCTTTCTGGCTGAGGATTCTAAAAGCCCCTCATTAAACTGCAAATTCCAAAAATCATGGATTTTTTTATTGCCATGGCTTTGTTGCCATGGCAATTAAAGTGTAATAATATTGTTATAACAATGTAGTGTGATTGAGCCCTATGTGATAGAAATTGCCCTCCATATGAAGGGGTAATGAGGAAAACTAGTTTGGTAGTTGTTTGTCCCTAAAGTAATGGAGTGTACCCTAGCACAACAAGTTGGGACGTGTTTCAATATGTCACAGCCCTCTATTTACTTTTCAGTATTACTGTGCAGTGAATTATGTTTCATTTATATTGTTTCCCCGTCATTGGGAGTCATAGTGACTCATGGAAATTTCTGGTGTGAGGCAGGCAGCTGCTTCTTTATCTCCTTTACTTCTGGTTTTAGTTCAGTGTTTAGAGCATACCAGTCGCTTAGGAAAACATTTGCTTAGAAAAACAAGCCTTTCCATTATTTGAAACCAGAGGTGGTGGAATGTATTTTGGGAAGTAAGCCAGAAAATCCATTTGTTTCTCTGCATGAAGTAGGAAAATGAAATAACTATCTGGAGATATTGCTGCCTACACACCCTGTTCTTCCACTCACTCTGAATCGATTACTTTCAGTGTAGAATTTTTAAGGTTGGATGAGCCTCATTAGAGAAGGTCTATAGAGGAGGCTAAACAGAGTGTGAAGGATCTACTACTCTGCTCTTGTTGGGTTTCAATCTCTCTAAAGAACCCAGATATCAATTTTCTCTTAGAACGTGAAGGAGGAACAGTATCTGGCCGATAGCAAGCAACTTGTTTACAAGAAGAAACTGTATCCAGACACTGGTTGCTCAGCATAGTCTCTTTGTTTTTATCCTAATCCTTGTGTCAGTGTTGGATGTCACTACAGGTTGGAATTTGTTGTTGGGTGTAGACTGGGTAATCCAATATATGCAGCTGTATCAAATGCTGCCTTTTGAGCCACAACACACAAGCCCAGTTGCATCATCATGCCAGGGCAGGGAGGATGGATAACTAATAGTGACTAAGTACTGTGGCAACAGAAAACAGATGTTAAAATGGCTTCATCTGTTAATTTTCAGGTAAGCCAGTGGTTCTCAACCTTCCTAATGCTGCGACCCATTAATACAGTTCCTCATGTTGTGGTGACCCCCAACCATAGCATTATTTTCATTGCTACTAATTTTTGCTACTGTTTAGAACCATAATGTAAATATCTAATATGCAGGATATATTTTCATTCACTGGACCAAATTTGGCACAAATACCCAATATGCTCAAATTTGAATACTAGTGGGCTTGGAGGGGGGTTGATTTTGTCATTTGGGAGTTGTAGTTGCTGGAATTTATTGTTCACCTACAATCAAAGAGCATTCTGAACTCCACCAATGATGGAATTGAACCAAACTTGGCACACAGAACTCCCACGACCAACAGAAAATACTAGAAGGGTTTGGTGGGCATTGACCTTGAGTTTTGGAGTTGTAATTCACCTACATCCAGAGAGCACTGTGGACTCAAACAATGGTGGATCTGGACCAAACTTGGCAGAGATAGTCAACATGCCCAAATGTGAACAATGGTGGAGTTTGGGGAAAATAGACTTGACATTTCGGAGTTATAGTTGCTGGGATTTATAGTTCACCTACAATGTAAGAGCATTCTGAACCCTACCAACAACAGAATTGGGCCAAACTTCCCACACAGAACCCCATGACCAACAGAAAAAACTGTTTTCTGATAGTATTTGTTGACCCATCTGACACCCTCTCACGACCCTCCCAGGGGTCCCAACCCCTAGGTTGATAAAAGCTGAGTTAAGTTGTTTAGCTGATAGACCCTAACAGATTTAAGTGGGAGAGGCAGGTAGCCTTCCAGGATGGTCCTAAAAGATATTGTATACTATTGATATTTTCGATCATCAGAGGGAGGACAAGAGGCCTGTAGCACACTGCAGATTGTAGCCAGAATTGTAGGCAAAGTCCTGTTCTAGAACATTACTGTGTATTGACAATTCTCTTGGCATAGAGGCAGTTTGCTTTGGGATTTCATAAATGATTGTTGGCACATCAAAGGTTGATCTTTTCTATAGCTTAAGAACTTAGAGGCTCTGTTTTGGAGGTGGAAGCCAGGGATATCTTTGGAGCAAGAGGCATTTTGTGAGAAATAACAACTGATGTTAGAAGTGTGTCAAGGCATTGAGGGTGAGGGTTAGATCCCCCCCCCCCAAATTAGAAGCAAGGTATCAGGTGTAGATGTATTTTAGGCTGTGTCTGGTCCAGCTGTCTTTGGAGTGCAGAACGCTGGAGTGGCAAAACAACTGCCAGTTCTGTGAACTATCTGCTAGCTACATGAGGTCGTCATTGCGCCAATCACCTCGAAGGCTTATGTCTTGAACTGTTTATTCTGGCATGAGCTGCCTTTCTGGGACACCAGATATTTTGTTGAAGGTGTAGATTAACTCTTGTTTAAGGTGTTCTGGATCAATTGTATTCTTTGACAAAGATCATGAATAACAACTGTTACCAATGAAGTGGATAGCATAACTCCTCTCTGCTCACTTAAGCACTTTGTTTCCTCTCACATGTTTTGCATTGATACTGTGATCCTTTTTTCTCTCCCACTTCTTTCTGTCTACAAGCATCTCTTTAGACAGATTGGCTGATACGCACTCTAGCATATTGAAAGGTTAAAAGGGCAGGGAGCATGTTGAGGGAAGCTACCTTGTTCATCCCTGTTAATTATGTTGTTGGGAAAAACTGGAGATGGTAACTGTTAAACAGATTATTGGCTCATGCTTTGCTTGTGTCTTCTGCTGCATTTATTGGCATGCTTTACAAGGAACTGTTTTATTGAAACTTAAGACTTGAGTCCTTTTGGTACTTCCTTTGAGACCGCACAGCAGACAGCTGCAGAGAAAAGAACCAGCCACCCCTTTACTGGTAACCTAGTAATTAATTCTCAGATTGTTTCCTTTCTGCATGGGAGATCTGATTCCTGAGGTTATATACCATGCAAGTGGAAGTGCAAGGGAGGAGTAAGCCATTTAATTTTGACAGCCTGTTTAATAAAGATTTGATCTGGATGTGTTCACACATGAAATAATTATTTTCTAATGCAGGCGTAAAGCCTCCCTGGTGGCGCAGCAGATTAAACTGCTGAACTGCTGAACTTGCTGACCAAAAGGTTGGCAGTTTGAATCCTGGGAGTGGGGTGAGCTCCCACTGTTAGCCCCAGTTTCTGCCAACCTAGCAGTTCGAAAACATGCAAGTCTGAGTAGATCAATAGGTACCACTTCCGCAGGAAGGGAATGGTGTTCCATGCAATAATGCTGGCCACATGACCTTGGAGATGTCTACGGACAACACCGGCTTTCTTTGGCTTAGAAATGGCGATGAGCACCACCCCCCACGACTAGACTTAATGTCAGGGGGAAACCTTTACTTTTACCTAATGCAGACGTTGGCACTATTTTGGTGTGTCATTACATTCTGAAATGCCACTGGGTGCTTATTCTCAGAAGACTTAACACATTTCATGATTTTGTGGCTATGTCTGTCTTTTCTTCTCAAATCTTTATGCATGCTCTTTTTACAATTGGTTGCAATTGTACAAAAGCAGCTTGGAACAAGAAATTATTGGGTGCAGCACCTTTATATGTGACCGAAATCTCACAACCCCTGGGTCTTCCACTCCAGAGCTCTGCCCCAACAGCCATACAAATGGATTGTTGCCTGTCTGATTAACAAAGTGGGACTAATTGTGTTAAGAGCCTCAAGGTTGGAACTAAATGTAATGAACAGGAGGCATGGCAGCACTCACTGGAACACAATATATTTTTGCCTCCTAGAAATGTAACTTTCTCCCCATGGTCATGTCATCCATCAGTCATTCTAACAGTGGAGTGTTGTTTCTGGACCTCACCAAGTTTATATGTCTGTTTCATTTTTTTCTCAGGCTGGTCCTGATAAAGATGCCGCTCTGACTGACTCTTGTTCACTGACTCTTCACATTGAAGGTGTGGGATGGCTCTACATGGCCTCAGCAGGGCCAGATGCCTATAACCTAGGCCTCAAGAGGGGAAACCAATTCAAAGCAGACATTTCGCCAGGGCTGACTGTGCCACCACTCACAGCAAATCTTCAAGACAGTAAGGCCTGGTACCTTGCAAAGCAGCAAGTGAAGCCCATCTGGCAGCTGGAACGGAATCATGTGACCGCTCTTCAGGACCATCGCTTGGTCCACTCAGGGATCTCTTCCCAGTGTCCCCGCCTCTTATACCCAGAGACATTATGTAGCGAGGCAGTGTTTCTGAGCCCACCTCCCCCTCATACCCATCCCCTCCCAAACTTCCTCGGAAACACCTTGCTTTATCGGCGCTCTTACTTCAGACACAAGCCTTACCGGAGGCTTGAGTCTATCTGTGTGCAGCCTGGCACTTTAGAGAGGAAGCCTCTTCGCGCCCCACCCCCTGCCTATCGTTCTGTTCTGAATAACACCATGTCATCCTCAACCATGGAGCCATTCCTAATGCCAAGCACTGTTGGTGAGCGTTCTGGTCCAGGATCAAAAGTGATGCCCCTAAGCTCAGGGAAGCTAAGCTCCAGTGCATACAGGCCAGTGCTAAACAATAATTCTTTCCTGAGGCCAACTAGTGCAAAAGTGCCTTTGCAGCATCATCACCAACCACTGCCACCAGAAAATAAGAAGCTGAAAGGCTTGCCAAGAGCACCAGGATTCTCTTGGACCCATTCTGGAGGAAATGGGGATGGTTCAACTGTGAATATTGAAAGAAAACTTGGGAAAGGCAACAGCTTAACTGTTGAGCAGACCAATGCCAAATCTCCTCGCTCATCTATTCACAATGGCATGGTTCTCAAAGCAGAACGGCCCTTTTGGCGGCTTGAGGACGGGGAGAATAAATCACAGAATCTGAGAGAACAAGATGTGCGATTGACTGAAGCCATGAGGAAGCTGACAGCAAGTGGTATCCGGAAGGGTAGTACCTACAACGAATTTGGTCACCGCATTGACAGCTCCTGCCTTATGAATGCAAACTTTCACTCCAGCGTCTTTAATCGATGGAAACCACACATTGTAGCACAGATTACTCCAAGGGAAGTACCAGCTGCCACTTCCCTGAATCTGGAACCTGGCAGCCGCCATCAAAGCCTTACAGGCACAGAAGTTACTGATGTCTGCACTAAACGTATTGATGCTCGTTTCTTAGCCTCAAATCTGGAATCTTCCAACCACAGTACCTCAAACCACTCTGCCATCCCTGCTTCTGTGATCACTGGAGAGCAGGTGGCCAAACCAGAACCATCCCCACGAACCAGTGTTTCTGAGATCGAGACAAAAATTTCCTCTCTTCAGCTAGGCACAGATACAAAATGGGGGCCACCAGCCTCTGTGAAAGATACTGAGTGAGTATGGAAGATACATTTTTCCAGTGTTGTGGTTGTGTTATCTCTTCAGTACTCCATGGTGAAAGCTTTGGGTGCTACTGCTAAGGCAGTACAAGTTGAAATTATAGTAGCAAAAAAAATCCAGTCCTCTATGCAGGAGCTCATATAACCATGTTTCCCTTTCTTGTTGTTCTTCCATACCTTCTAGTGGTTTCCAGTCTCTGGTGACTATCTTGGCAACATTTTTTCAGAGGGGGTTTGACTCTCTGAGGCTGAGAGAGTATTACTTGCCCAAGGTCACTCAGCCGAATGGCTACTTGAACCGTGTCCTTTAATGCCCAATTTTATTTAAGGACCCAAGGTGGCTTACAGGAATGTAAAACAAAGTCCAGCTAAAAGCTGTTTGATACAAAAGTTTAAGAAATTCAGAAATACTTTTTTTATTAAAGCACAAAACTATTTGATAAACAGCAAAACATAGTACAAAGAATAAAGGCACAACAGACCCTTAAACAAAGACCTATGACCTATCAGTGCTTGGCATCCTTTGGTTCTGTAGCTTTATCACTTTTTCGAAAACCTTTCTCAAATCTATATAAATAAAAATGTAATGTTCGTTTGTGGTATTAACAGAACTCAAAAACCACTGGGGGAATTGACACCAAATTTGGACAGAACACAGTATTCAGAGCAATCTATGTCCTGCATTAAAAAAATTCCTCCCAAAAAACAGTAAGACCTTAAATTTTAAAAGAGAACACTGTGCATGCGTTCAAACCCATTCTCTTCCCCCACCCCCGCCGCGCGAGCACAGCCAGTGCGAGAGGCACCAACGGCATGCCCAACCGGCAAACAGGTGAGAAGGCACCCCACAGACATGGCAGAAAAACGGGGCGGCGCTGGGTGAGCGAGACCTGCCTCCAAAGCGCCTCCCTCCCGCCTGCTCCGTGCCTGGCTCCGAGGATCCTTCCTTCCAGCGCCCAGGCAAGAGGTAAACGAAGGAAGGGAAGCGGCAGAGAAGAAAGGAGAGAAAGAAAGAAAGAGGGAAAGAAAGCAGGAAAGAGAGGAGGAGGGATGGAAGCGAAGAGCAAAGGAAGGAAGGAAAGAAAGAAAGAGGGAGAGAAGGAAGAAAGGAGAGAAAGAAGGAAAAGAAAAGGGGGGAGGGAGAGAGGAAAGAGAGAAGGATAGGAAAAAAGGAAGGAACGAAGGAAAGAGCGAGAGAAGGAGGGAAGGCGAGAGAGAAAGAGGGATGGAAGGTTGGCCACAGCACCAACTAACCCAAGGAGTGACCATCACTCAAAAAATTGGTTTGTTATTTGGGAGTTGTAGTTGCTGGGGTTTATAGTTCACCTACAATCAAAGAGCATTCTGAACTCCACCAACAATGGAATTGAACCAATCTTGGCACACAGGACTCCCATGACAAACAGAAAACGCTAGAAGGGTTTGGTGGGCATTGACCTTGAGTGTGGGAGTTGTAGTTCACCTACATCCAGAGAGCACTGTGCTCAAAACAATGATGGATCAGGACCAAACTTGGCACAAATGTTCCATAAGCCCAAATATGGACACAGATTGAGTTTGGGGGACATAGACATTTGGGAGATGTAGTTATTGAGATTTATAGTTCACCTACAATCAAAGATCATTCTGAGCCCCACCAATGATAGTATTGGGGTAAACTTCCCACACAGAACCCCCATACTGAAGGCCATCCAGTCCAACTCCCTCCACCAGGGCAAGAAAACGTAATCAAAGCCCTCCTGACAAAGAGCCATCCAGCCGTAGATTAGATAGAAATGATTCACACACAGAGAGATATAGTACAGATTTGAAAGGGACCCCTAAAGAAGGACAATTTCCATGTTGCATGTTCCAGAGTAGACAAGCCAGACAATCTCCACATCAACACTGACAAAGAAACAGCAAGAAATACTATTGACCCACAAGCATCAAGACATTACATATATTAGAAACCAGCACTTTCTCATTACTTGATTTTCCAGGTCACCAGACTGGGCCACAGCAACACGTGGCAGGGGGCAGCTAGTACAATATAATAATTTAGGTTTAACATTTTGGTTTGAGACATCAAACTTGAACTGTGAGGATGATTGCTAAGAGCGCCATTATTGCTAGGATGTTTCCTCCCTCCCTCCCACTCTGAATCACTTCCATCCTTTTACACATACTAATTAGGTGTTCTAGACTGGCACCTTAGTCAAAATGTTTGGTTGCTACTGTCACATGAATATATTGCTTCTGTGCAATTAAGCTCATACAACATATATTGATTAGTATGTGGAAAAATACTATGTGGATTTCGAGCTGCCCATAAAATAAAATGAAGTGTAATGAGCTTGCTGTTGTAATTCTTACTAATGACAGTTGTGAAAAAGATGGCTTCATTTGTTGTTGCCTGGAATTTCTGTATCCCATTGTGTTGATTTAAGTATAGGTCTACGGTTGTTTAGGGTGACAGCTCCTACCATCTTTTACCATTGACCATGTTGAGTGGGCTGAAGGGAATTTTAGACCATTTTAAAGAATGGAGATTGTCTGTCTCTGTTGTAGATGTGTCTTTAGCTATGTCCCTGGAGCAGTGAAAGGAATGTATGTCAGCCATTTAGCTGCTTTGTAGCTATAACCCTTTGTGTTGCAGAGCTGCAGTCAGTTTACCACTGCTGGACCAAGCAGAAGTAGAAGATGTGGAGGAAGAACTCCCTGATGGCTTAGAAGATGCCTGCAGTCAGGATGAGGAAGGGGAAGAGGATGATGGGGAAGGTCTGCGATATTTAAGTATCACCACACACAAACTCCTAAACAGATAGGGATTACCCTTGGACAGTACAAATGTACTTGGTACACTTCAAACATATCCTTAAAATAATAAAAGTTCAAAATGGTTATGTCTCTACCTGAAATTGTAACATAATATTAGTAAAGGAAAAACTGTGCACTAATGGAGTTGTAACTGTTTTTCCAGCTGTAGAAACAGTGATGGGTTTGTTCATGTGGTCCCTACGTGTGCTGCTGCTTTTACAACAGCTGCCTAAGTGGAAACTGAATCAGATCCCCCTCCTGTGCATAGTTTGGAATGAAAGTAGCAAACACTTACAAACATGCCATATATCAACCTGTAGTATAATTCTGAGTTAGAAATAGATTACTAACATAGTTTCTCTTATCTGGGATAGAATAACTCACCTCTTGAATACCACCAGCCTTCCTTATGCACTTGTAAATATTTATTCTGTGCAGTGTGTAGTCAAATGCTCTTTAAGAGAGAGAAAGAGAGTTGGGTCTTTATGTTTTCTGATCTTTTTGTTCTATAACTTGGTCAATTATTTTCTTTTATGCCAATTAAATTGTTGCTCTATCCTATTTGTGCTACGAAATGGCAGAGGAGGGAGGGAAAAACACAAAGAATGTTGTTAATGACTGCACCCTGTTTTAGTGGCTCCACTAGCTTATCTGTCATGGGGCTTTAATCAAGACCTCTTGCACCAAAGTCTGGTAAATTTTAGTGCAGGATTCTATATTTGTGTTACTTAAGAGAAATATTCCTAACCTATGAAATATTTTATGGGAGTGAGATTTAGTCTACTGAAGTGTCCTCTTATTAGAGGCAGTCCCTGATTACAAGTATCCAACTTACAAATGACTTATAGTTAAAAATGAGAGTGAGACAGGAAGAAGTGAGAGAAATCTACCACTAGGAAATTCACCCCTGAAAAGTTACAGTGGCAAAAGTTGTCTCAACTGAAGCTTTATCCTTGTTTCCACCACAAGCCACATTTTTCAAAATCCAGTTATCACAGGGACAGAAAGTGAAGCAAAATCTTCTGAACAGGGGCATAGACAGCGACGAATGTAGGACCTTCCCCAGACTGTTAACCTGTGTCTTCAGGAGAAATGTAACCTCATCCAGCACAGGTTGGATCTCTATACCCTGATCTGCCTTGTGACTGACCAGGAGTGCCTCTGGTCATTTAGTTTCAATCTATTCACCCTCATCCAGTCCATTAGTGATGACAGGCTCTGATTGAGGATTAGAATGGCATCCTTGGCTTTTGGTGGAAAGGAGTAATAGAGTTGGGTGTCATCTGAATAAATATGGCACCGTATCCCAAAGCTCCGGATGATCTTTCCCAGTGGTTTTATGTAAATGTTAAATAGCATGGGTGACAGAATAGATCCCAGAGGGACCCCACAGGCCAATGGCCAGGTGGTTGAACAGGAGTCACTCAGCAGCACCTTCTGGGTATGATCCTCTAGGAAAGAATGGAGCAACTGTAGAACAGTTCCTCCTAATCCCATCCCAACAAGACGACCCAGAAGGATACTATGGTCAGTGGTATCGATAACCACTCAGAGGTCCAGGTGAACCAACAGGGTCACACGCCCCCATCTAGCTTTCTTTGTAGATCATCAACCAAGGCAACCAATGCCGTTTTAGTTATGTAATCAGGTCTGAAAACAGATAAGCAGCCTTAGTTATTATTTCATAAATCACACAAAAAGAAATGGAGGCCAAGTTTCTTCATGTGTTGGTGGGGTATGGGAAGTGTTTTCAACCTTAACTGTTTTTGCCTTTCTCTTCAGTTGAATCTGATGGCTCCTCATCATCTGGATTATCCCCTAATGGTTCTGTGGCTATTATATCCAGGTTAGTTTAAAAGACAAACTGGATGTGCTTTCTTTCCATGCTCTAGTGTAGGTTTATCTGTTTAGATCAGTAGGTTTTTCTACATAAATGTATATGCTAAGAGTGTAGATGTCTGACTGTTCTGTTTTCACGAGTGAAGATGAATAATTTCTCAAGTTTTCTCCTCACTGCAGAGAGAACAAATATTTCTGCATAGATCGCACCTTATTCATTCCAAATTGTTATGGTATATTACTATGTGCAGAAAGATTGCTGCTTTCTATATAAAAACCTGTAATTTTGCACAACAAAAACATGCACAAAAATAAAAGATCTTGCAAAGCTGTGTGCCTTTTTATGCAAGATTCTTGCTTTTTGGATGAAAAAAAACCCCAAGAAAAATATTGTACAAAACCAGAAATCTTGCAGAAAATATACATTACTGGAGTTTCTGGAAAATATTTTTGTTTATTTGTTTTTGCACAAACAGCATGGTTCTCACCCAAAGTAACCCATGTGCATCCCCTCACAGAATTATGCGTTGAAATTCTCAACACTGTTTTATTTTTACTGATTGGTTTCCCAAGTGTTAGGAAATCAATTTTTGCCCAAGAAACAAATAATGATGTCTATTCTTCCCATCCTTAGTATAGACATGGCTCTTGGTAAATCAATGCAAAGAGAAAAAGTGCTGATATCCTTGAAGATATGTTGTGTCGCTTGCTTTCACAGTGCTGAGTTTTCCTTTTGGCTTCTGTCTTGTAAAGCCAGATAGATGGGCAACTCTATTTCTTTTCTTAGGAATTGTGTTGAAGGATTAGTTCCTCCACTTGAGGGCCAAGAGCGAATTGTCAAGCCAGCTTTGATATACAGCCTATTCCCCAATGTGTCTCCCACCCTGTATTTTGCTACCCGAGATGAGAGAGGTAAGGTAAATTTGAATTAATTGCAGGGAGCAGAAATGGGCTGGGTGGTCTTGGAACTTACAATAGGACAATAGGATTGCATAGTAATGAGTTCTTCAGCTGTACAAAAAAAACCTACTGTTTTCAAATTCTAGTCTATTTTAATGTAACTTTTGGTGGAAAGCATATGGCAAGGATGGGAAAAAGGCAACCCTGGAGCCATGTGGCTTATCCAAGACTGCTTTTGTGGCTCTTGATGCCTCTAGAGTCTTTATTCAACCCTTTTTCTGGCCTAGAAAGGAATAAATAGCTAGAACAGTGGTTCTCAACCTTTCTAATGCTGTGACCCCTAAATTAAGTTCCTCATGTTGTGGTGACCCCCAACCATATTTTCGTTGCTACTTCATAACAGTAATTTTGCTACTGTTATGAAATGTAATGTACTATATATACTCGAGTATAAGCTGACCCATAATATAAGCAGAGGCACCTAATTTTACCATTAAAAACTCGGAAAACTTATTACATTATTTTATTCTATTGTTATTATTATAACATTAGTATTCTACCTTATTATTATTATTACATTTATTGTTTTAATCTATTATTGTTGTTATTATTACATTTATTATATAAGCCAAGATTGCGAAATGCAGCAGTTACTGGCAAATTTCAAAAATAAAAATAAAATTACATTAATTGAGGCATCAGCAGTTTAAATGTTTTTGAATATTTACATAAAACTGTAATTTAAAACTGTCTAACTCTGATTAAATCATTATTCTAACCTTCTTCAATGTAAATGTGATTACCAGTACATATCCTTCCAGTAATAATAAATAGAGTAAAATAATACATGTAATAATAACAATGATAGATTAAAATAATAAATGTAATAACAATAATAGTAAGGGTAGAATAATAAATGTAATAACAACAATAGATTAAAACAATAAATGTAAATAATAATAATAATAATAATAAGGTAGAATAATAAATGTAATAATAACAATAGAATAAAATAATGTAATAATAACAAAGTAAAATAATACATGTAATAACAATAATAAATAGAGCATGGCAATCCCCACCTCCACCAGCCCAGTCTCTCCCTCTGCGAACCCTAAAGAGACACAAAGGGGCTCCAACTTTTCCTTAAAAGACAGGAGAGAAAAGAGGGGAACCAAGCTGTTTAGTAATGGAATATGCTGCCTTGGAGCATGGTGGAGTCTCCTTTCCACTCTGGGCTTTTTTATGCAGAGCCATCTGTCGGGGGTGCTTTGATCGTGTGCTTCTAAGTGGCAGGAAGTGTGACTGGATGGCTCTTCCCTCTGCTCACCTTCAAGGATGTTTTTCTCTGGGAAAAGGATGTTTGCAGAGAGAGAGAGAGAGAGAGAGAGAGAGAGAAAGGAGGAGCCAAGCCAGATCTCCGCTTTGCCTCCAAGGTTGCTTCTGCCCTTGGAAAGGCAGTGGTGTCAACCCTTCCTCCTCCTCCTCTTCCTCTCTCCCTCCTTCAGGACACACAGAATCTGAGCAGGGGACAGCCTCCTGAAGGAACAGGAGCTGCCTTGGAGGGAAAGAGACTACATTACCCAGCAGGCATGTCCTGCTTCTCCCTCTCCCTTCTTCCACTTCAAATCAGCCAACATTCTGCCAAAGGGAGAAAGTCTGGGGGTTTTTGGGACCCAGAGCTCCCAGTGCAGCTGCCTTCCTGCTCCCCTTCCTCTTCAGAGCCAGCAGCAGAGCAGCTCCCTGAAGATTGCAAAATGAGCAAGTCTGGGTGCAAAATCCCTTTTGCACCCCAGTCTTGCTCATGTTGCAATCTCCCCCAGGCAGCTGCTCTGCTGCTGGCTTCGAGGAGGAAGGAGAGCAGGAAGGCAGGCAGGCAGGCAGCTCCACGGGAGTCCTGGGTCCCAAAAACCTCCAATCCCTCTCCCCTCGGCAGAATGTTGGCTGGAAGGCTGGAAGGATTAGAACGGAGAGTGAGAAAGGGGTCTGGGAAAGACTTGAGTGGGACAAGCAGCAAGATAGGAAAATGGGGAAGACAGGCTGGAAGCTGGGAAAGGCTGGGATGCAAAGGGAGCTGGAAAAGTGGGAGAGGGACTGGGGATAGTTAAGACTGGGGTAGGAAGTGGGAAACTAGGCTGTGGTGGGAGAGGAGGAAGGCAAGCGCCCAGAAAGAGCTCTTGAGAGAGCCCAGCACAGGCACGTGGCGCCCTCTCCGCACAGCAACCATGCGCCCCTTCCTCTCCTCCTCTCGGAGCTCTCTTGGCACTGACTTCTCCTTTCTCTCACCCAGCTGGGTTGTTGTCCTGGGAGGTGAGAGTCCTGGCAAGAAGGCGTGGGGCTGAAAGAAGCCCTTCTCACTCGAGTAGAAGCCTTCTGAACTCGGCAGAGGCAATAGCCGGGCGGCGTGCTTTCTCCCGCGCGCGCCTTTGCCTCCAAGCTCCTCCTCCTGACTCCCTGCAGCCTTGTGGGAAGAGGAGGAGGAGGAGCCAACCAATGGCCGGCAGCCATTTTGGGGAGGCAGAAGGGGCGGGGCCAACCGAGGAGCCTTCGCGACCCCCAGAAAATGGCTCGGCGACCCCGCTGGGGGTCCCGACCCCCAGGTTGAGAAGTGCTGAGCTAGAAGCTTCCAGGAGACACAGCTCATCTTATAAATAAGTTGCAATGTTCCCTTGCAGTGTTAAACAGGTTTTTGTTTTTGTTTTGCTTTTTGCCATTCTATGTGGCCCATGCAGGGCCTTTAAGCAGAAAATTGACTCCGAGCCCATTGAAGGTGTCCACTCATGCAGTAGACCAACAGATTTCCTTGCAGCAGAGAGACAACCCATTTGTTTTTCCTTATTTTGTTTTGGCCTGGGTGTCACCACAGTGGGGAACAGGCATCACGACATCCTTTGGCCTGGAAAGCTTACAACTTGTCTTAAACACTTGGCATCCATATGCAGATAGACTGGATGCTTCTTGCTATGGCAGCATAACTTCCTGGCCTTCCCACTGTTTCCATGCAATGTCTGTCTTCCACAACCCAGAGAAACAATGTCAGAACAGAATAGTAACTCCTACCAAATCAGGTTGACATGATACAACATGTAGGCCAGGAGGCACCCTTCTCACAGAAATCAGTGAGGATTCTCTGTTAGTGTAGTCAACTTACCTATTACTCATGTTGGATGAGATAAGCTTGATCTCCCCCAGGATCTGGGTCCTTCCAAAAACTTTGTACATGTACCTCTTCATGTGTTTCATCTTCATCAGGAGGGAGGAACTTTTTTCACAGACACTCTGGTATGGGCAAGTGATGGAATTTCTGTGAAGGTTCTCTCCCTTCTTTGTAAGATAAGTGTAGTAGACATCTACACCTTTGAATCTTCTATCCTTCATGCCAAATTGATATTTCAGAATGAGTGTGCCTTGGGTTGATTTTTCCTCTACCCTTAAGGTTTGCTTCTTTCCTAGTGGAGAAGCTCCCTTGGGAGCAGAGAAAGATGCTGCGGTGGAAGTTGAGTACGGTGACTCCCAACATTGTGAAGCAAACTATCGCCCGGTCCCACTTCAAAATCAGCCGGAGTAAGTCATCTTCAGTTGGGAGTGGTTTTGAGGGTGCATGTTTTATACCTTAAGTACATCCAAAATTTGTAAGAGTCCACATCTTGACTTGGCATAGTGCTCTATGTTTGGATACTTGCTATCCCATTTTGAAGACCTGGGTTTCAGTAGCAGAGATGGAAGACCAGAGTTTGTAAAGTTGGTTTTTGTTCTGCCTAGAATACCCCAGTGCTCATGCTTGCTGGAGGTTGTGGTGATCCAAAATGATACATCTTCCAGACCCTGCAGAAGCCCCCCAAAGGCTGGTTACCCCAGTGTCCCTCTCTTGCATGGAGGACTCTGCATGATGCTGTTAAATAGGAATCTGCGGATCTGACTGTGGCTTTTCCACTGCTTCCCTCCACCTACTGGACAAATCTTTTGGTTGTGTTTCCTTGGGGAGCTCTCCCTAGTACCTATACTCTGCTAATGTCTTCTGGAGAACCACACTACCCGCAGCATGGCCTTTGCTTACAGAGACTGGGAAATGCTATCTTTCAGCACATACATTTTAGCAACTCTTGCTATATGCCAGATCAGTTGTGTTCTGTGTGTAGGAATATTTTTTTTTATTTATTTATTTATTTATTTATTTATTTATTCAAGCTTATATGCCGCCACTCCCCTGGGGCTCGGAGCGGCTTACAAGAATAGGCTAAAATCTAACACAATTTAAAAACAATTTAAAACAAGTTAAAAACAACAATATCAAAACTCAAAGGCCTGTCAAAACAGATGTCTTACATGTCCTGCGGAAAGCTGATAAATCCCTCAAGGCACGGACTTCAGGTGGCAGAGTATTCCAGAATGATGGTGCCACTCCTGTAAAGGCTCTGCGTCTGGTTGCTGTTAGACGCAAGGTCTTGACACTGGGAATTTCCAATAAATCTTGGTCCTCAGGACGTAGGGATCTCTGAGGTTTGTAGGGGGTGAGGCGGTCCCTCAGGTACATCGGCCCCAGACCATATAAGACCTTAAAGGTGAGTACCATCACTTTGAAAGTGATCCGGTGCTCAGTTGGTAACCAATGCAGTGGCAATAAGATTGATGTTATGTGGCATCTCATCGGAATTCCCGCAAGAAACCGAGCAGCTGCATTTTGTACCAACTTGAGGTTCCGGATAACCGACAGAGAAAGGCCAATGTAGAGGGCGTTACAGTAGAAGGAACAGGCGTGCCTGTTCCTTCTAGCTAATTATTTGATTAATATACTCATCTTTAGTCTCCCCTTCTCCAATTAGAAGGAGTTGGGAAGTGGATGAAAAAGGAATTGGAATTATATTTTGAGATTTCTGATTTTTTGCACTTAACTGAAAAAAGCTTCGCAGAATATGTTGTGATGCTGATGTTATTGTGTTTTTGTTGTGTATAGTTCTCTGAAAATTTTATTAGAAACTACTTACATGAGAGATCTCACAATTAAAATGAAAGGGTTGAAGTTATGAGGTTGGAAAACATATTTTAATTATTGTTTGCCAATGTGAGATTTGTAAGTGCCTGGGATTATTATATTTCTTGAGTGTTGTTGTGTGCATTCAAGTTATTTCTGACTAATGGCGACCCTAAGGTGAACCTATCATGGGGTTTTCTTGACAAGATTTGTTCAGAAGAGGCGCTAATGATTGTTATTCTGATGTTAATGATTTATGTTACAATTGTTTTTAATTGTCCTATACTTGTCTCATGTTTTGTATTGATGTTGTTCACCGCTTTGAGTCGCCTGAGGGCTGAGAAAAGCAGTATATAAATAAAGTAAATAAATAATAAATAAATTTGCATTTGCCTTCCTCTGAGGCTAAGAGAGTTAATATGACATGCCCAAGGCAAAGCAGTGGGTTTCCATAGCCATGCAAGGATTTGAACCTTGAGCATAGAACAGCAAAATGTGTCCAACATGATGTTCAGATCATCTCTGAACTGCCCTATTGCCCACAGGAAACAATGACTGGCTAGGCTGCTGGGGCCATCATATGAAATCACCTGGGTTCAGAGTGATCAAAGAACATCAGAAGGTATGAGACATAATCAGGCTGCAGAAGAACATACTGAAGAAACTCATGTAACATGGCAAGAGATAATGAGATACAGCTCTTCAGTTTTGCTGTCTTTGTACTGCATGTATCTGATCTTTCTTGTTTTTTGCGGCAATCTCCTATTCCTCTCCCTTTGCATTCTGCTCTTGGTTCTTCTGCTTTCGAAGGAAGCTACTGAGGTTTGTAAGACATCTTGGCATATTTATTTATTGTGTCATCAGCAACCATTGTATTACAATTCTAACAGAGCAAAACAAACACAGAGATTAAAAAGAAAAAGGAAAAAAAACACACAGATTTTGCAAATTTGGTATTTGGTTAAATGTCCTTTGTCCAGTATCTGGCCACTTGGAGTGCCTCTGGGGTTGCCGCAAGAAGGTCCTCCATTTTGCATGTGGCAGGACTCAGGGTGCATTGCAGCAGGTGGTCAGTGGTTTGTTCTTCTCCGAATTCGCATGCCGAGGATTCCACCCTGTAGCCCCATTTCTTAAGATTGGCTCTGCATCTTGTGGTGCCAGAGCGCAGTCTGTTCAGTGCCTTCCAAGTCGCCCAGTCTTCTGTGTGCCCAGGGGGGAGTCTCTCATCTGGTATCACACACGGATTGAGGTGCTGGGTTTGGGCCTGCCACTTTGGACTCTCGCTTGCTGAGGTGTTCCAGCGAGTGTCTCTGTAGATCTAAGAAAACTATATCTTGATTTAAGTCGTTGACGTGCTGGCTGATCCAAACAGGGGATGAGCTGGAGATGTCTCTGCCTTGGTCCTTTCACTATTGGCTGCTACTTCACGGCGGATGTCAGGTGGTGCAATACCGGCTAAGCAGTGTAATTTCTCCAGTGGTGTGGGCGCAGACACCCTGTGATAATGCGGCATGTCTCATTAAGAGCCACATCTACTGTTTTAGTGTGGTGAGATGTGTTCCACACTGGGCATGCATACTCAGCAGCAGAGTAGCATAGCTCAAGAGCAGATGTCTTCACTGTGTCTGGTTGTGATCCCCAGGTTGTGCCAGTCAGCTTTCGTATGATGTTGTTTCTAGCGCCCACTTTTTGTTTGATGTTCAGGCAGTGCTTCTTGTAGGTCAGAGCACGGTCCAAAGTGACTCCCAGGTATTTGGGTGTGCTGCAATGCTCCAGTGGGATTCCTTCCCAGGTAATCCTCAGAGCTCGGGATGCTTGTCTGTTCTTAAGGTGAAAGGCACATGTCTGTGTTTTAGATGGATTAGGGATCAGCTGGTTTTCCCTGTAATAGGCAGTAAGAGCACCTAGAGCTTCGGAGAGCTTCTGTTCAACCATCTCAAAGCTCCTGCTTGAGCAGTAATGGCACGATCATCAGCATAGATGAAACTCTCTGTCCCTTCTGGCAGTGGCTGGTCATTTGTGTAAATGTTGAACATGGATGGAGCAAGCACGCTCCCCTGAGGCAGGCCGTTCTTCTGTTTCCGCCATCTGCTTCTCTGGCCCTGGAACTCAACAAAAAAGCTCCTGTTTTGTAGCAGGTTTCCTATGAGGCGGGTGAGGTGGTAGTCCTTTGTGATATTATACATTTTTCTCAGGAGGAGGCGGTGGTTCACAGTATCATGGCTGCTGACAAGTCTATGAAGACAGCTCCTGTGATCTGCTGCCTTTCAAAGCCATCTTCTATGTGCTGAGTCAGGTTCAGCACTTGCGATGTGCAGCTTTTGCCTTTTCTGAAGCCAGCTTGCTGTGGGATCAGACAGGGGTCTATTTTTTCCATAATTCTATGCAAAATAAGTCTCTCCAGAACTTTGTAGAGGTGGCACAACAGGGAGATTGGTCTATAGCTTTTTGGATCATTACGGTCTTTGCCTGGCTTCAAGATGGCGATGACTCTTGCTTTCCTCCAGATTTTGGGGATCTGACAGGATGCAGTGCAGTTGTTCATCAGCTCCAGCAGCCAGCGCCTTGCTTTTGGACCAAAGTTCTTGATTTGTTCCATCCGTAGATCATCCAAGCCAGCTGCTTTGCCATTCTTACATTTGTTGAGAGCCATGTCCAATTCAGTAGATGTAAAGGGTTCATGAAGGTTGTTGTTCTCAATCTCTTGTTGTCTGGCTATTGGTTTCTTTCCTACTTTGGTGGCAAGGTTGGGTTTCCCGTTCTTCAAGAGTTGGTGTGCTATCTGATGTGCCTTTATGTTGGCATGGGTATTAGTTTGTGAGGAGTCATTGCTCAGCCGTCTTAGCAACCTCCACGCCTTCTGGCTGCTCCTGCCCATGTCGACCTCTGTGATCAGCTTGATCCACTGTTCTTTCTTGGCTTCAGAGATGGAGGACACAATGCTCTGCGCTGCCTGAAGGGTTTGCTCACTAAATGGGTCTTCGTTGTGGAGCCTGTAATAGTTTTCCAACAAGGCAGCTGTTTCAGGAGTAATGCCCTGAAGGTAGTGGGTTCTGCAGCCTCTCGGTATAGAGGCCCGTGAGCAGGTTTTCACTATTTCAATAAAATGTTCGTATTCCTCAGGGATTGGCATGACCGATGTGATCATGTCATCTAACATGTCTGAGAATTTAGTCCAATCTGCCTTTCTGAAGTTGTATCTTCGTTTAAATCGAGCTTCCTAAGGCCTTATTGTTGGGAACAGTTGGCATATTATTGGTCGGTGCTGTGTGTTTGGAATTGGTGGTCCCACTGATTTAGTGCATTGCTGTACGATGCTGTCGCTCACAAATAAGAGGTCTGGGTTATAACCTCAGTGCCATCTCCCGCTGTTGTAGGATGGTGGGAGCTTGCTATCATGGATGAGTGATAGTTTGTGCAGTTCAGACCAGGACAGGACAGCCTCTCCATTTCTGTCCTCTTGGGCATAGCCCCATACATGGCTATGGCTGTTGAAGTCACCAATTACTACCGCCCTTTGGTGCCTGTCAAAGTTCTCGGGGGAGGAGAAGCAGAACTCTTCATTTGGGGGCTTGTACACAGAGGTGATGGTGATGTTATTAAGCTCTACTGTTATAACCTCGATATTGTTTTCTTCATTATTGTGGGCACTGCTGACTTGGAGGCCTGGTTTGACAAAGACAGCGCTTCCATACTGCGCATGTGGTCTTTCCGCTACTAGGATCATTCCTGGAACTTTGGGTCGTTTCTGTCATTCATCCCTGTGTGTTTCTTGGACACACAGCACGTCACATTTCTTATCTCGGCACAGTTCATAGAGCAGTTGTTCTTTGGCAGCTGACATGCCTTCGATGTTGATTGAGATTATTGTCATGGTTGGTCCTGAAAAGGACCGTTGGTTGTTTTGCTTCCTTGTTTGCATGCTGCAAGTCGTCTCTGGTTGCTTCTGGATCGAGAGAATTGGCCGTCTACGAAGACATTGCCCAGGGGACGCCCGGATGTCTTGCAATCCTGCAAGGAGGCTTCTCTCATGTCTCATCTTGGCATGCATACTTTATATCCGCTTTCTGTTTGGTGTACCAGCTGGGTTTGGGGCCAGGTGGGAGCAGGGAGGGTAGCATGGGTAATTTAAGTTCCCACAGGGATCTCTGAATTTGTAGGGTAGAATTGCTGCAATCTTATTATGTTAAACATGAGGAACTAATATGCTAATTAATTAATAAGTCTTGACACACTCTTCCCCCACACAGTCACTGTTCAGATCTTCCCCCCCCCCCTTGGTTTTCAAATTCCAATTCTGACACTTTTTTCGTATCATTTCTAAAAGCACCTCTCAACCGACCACTATCTCAGGCATATACAATCCAACAATGTTCTACCCCATCACTCAGTCTTCATACACTCTCCCCATTATACCTGTCAGATAACATCACTAGATACAAACACAAGTTATATGACTGTAACATCAGAGAGAGATTTAAGCTGTACTAGGAGCAGGCAGTGGTGACCACATTGTGCTGTAATTAGCTAATGTCTTTCTACCTACAGTTGAACCATTTTCCCGGTTCATTCCAAATTGGTCGAAAGGACCGCCTGTGGAGAAATGTTTCCAAAATGCAGGTGCGCTTTGGGAAGAAGGACTTCAACTTTCTGCCCCAGTCTTTCATTCTCCCACAAGATATCAAGCTGCTCAGGAAGACTTGGGAAGATGGTGGGAGTCGCCAGAAATGGATTGTGAAACCGGTGAGGACATAATTTACCTGATCCAGATTTGAATCGAGTCTTTGCTCCTTCAGTTGCCTGCTGTGATACAGCCTTGGTTTTTACCTTACTCTCTTATAACTGTATTCCCATTGTCCTTCTACATTTTATCTGGGGTGTTGCACCATTGTGTGTTTTGGATTAAGGTAGTGCTCTTTAAATGCATGAATTGAGTAGAGGACCAGATGAAAAGCTGGAGAACTATAGTTGTACAGGGTGGATATCTTCTTGAGTCTAGCAAATAAGATAGTGTTGTAGTAAGCTGCCAGTCTGTATTCTTCAGCATGATTTCAACCAAACAGGTTATGCCTCTTCCCAGGTATACCTGCCTGAGGCCAATATACTGTGGTTAGGGCATGGGAGAGGGCCTTATCAGCTGGGGCACCCCAGCTGTGGAATGTATCCCCCAGAGACCAATTCTCATGTCATTTAAACACAAAGTTAAAACTTAAGTTAAAACTTAAGTTAAAACTTAATGCCAGCCTTTGGGTGGCATTAATGCAACCTAAGGGATGTTATTTATAGTTTTAAAAGCTTTGATATTTTAAAAATCTGTTTTTAACTTGGATTTTAATATGCTTTAGGCTTATTTAAGTAATCTTGCTGTTTTAAAATCTGCTTTCATGCTATTTGTAAACCACCCTGGCATCTCTTGAAATTGATATGTGTGTCTGCATGTGTTATATTCTATTGTTTATAGGAAGACAATATCAGTTACTGACAGAAAGGTATCTATGCTGCCTGTGTAAAACAAGCTGTGGTGTGTGAATGTACAAAGCAATTATCAATAAAGTTAGTTCATTCAATCCCTTTCAAAGTTGTTTTCTGCAATCCTGATTTTAGTGTAGAATTTAATTTATCCTTATATGCTCGAATATAAGCTGAGGATGGGGAATGCAGCAGCTACTGGTAAATTTCAAAAATAAAATAGTTACCAATAAAATTACATTAATTGAGGTATCAGTAGGTTAAATGTTTCTCAATATTTACATAAAACTGTAATTTAAGATAAGACTGTCCAACTCTGATTAACCCATTATTCTAACCACTTTTAATGTAAATGTGCTTACGTATCCTTCCAATAATTATAGAGTAAAATAATAACTGTAATAATAGCAATAATGATAGAGTAAAAAATTGGAAATGTAATAATAACAGTAATAATGGAGTAAAATAATAAATGTAATAAAAATAATAATAGAATAAAATAATGTAAATATAACAACAATAATAGAGCAAAATAATAAATGTAATAAAATAATAATAAATAGAGTAAAAGAATAAATGTAACAATAACAATAACAGAGTAAAAGAATAAATGTAATAATAAATGGAGTATAATAATAATAATAATAATAATAACGGAGTAAAATAATAAATCACCTTGACTCAGGTATAAGCCTAGGGAGTCATTTTCAGCCTAAAAAAGGCTGGAAAACCTGGCTTATACTCAAGTATATATGGTAATTTGAGTTTGAAATAATGTTAATCTTTTTTATATATCTCTGGGAAGTTTTCTTATTACCAATAATATAAAACTGACTTTCCTGCACCAGGTTGTATTCAGACCACATAGTTTTGAATTATAGGGTAACAGCAATAGATGTTATGTGCATATTTCTCCCATTTTCTTCAGCCAGCTTCTGCTAGAGGCATTGGAATCCAGGTCATCCATAAGTGGAGTCAGCTGCCAAAGCGCAGGCCACTGCTGGTACAGAGGTGAGAAGGATTTTCCTCCAAAAATAAGTTATTATCTAATTTTTCATCATTCTGCCAACAAAATGTACTGCTGGATGGATCACAGAGGTACTGCGGGTCTAATGATCATGCTTTCTGCCTTTTGTAAAACTGAAACTATTCTAGGAAACTGGTTTCTTTTGCCCTATCTTCAGCTGAATAGCAAGTCATTTTATGGAGTTCCTTCTGTATTGAAGTATCTTGATGGAGATTTTTGTGGTATGGTAATTTATTGTGAGTGCGGAAATTCCACCAGAAGTCTCCAGAATGCTACTGGACAAAGGTTATCATTCTATTGTTTACAAAGTGCTAAGTTTCCTAGGGTTAAATATCAAGGTAGTGCTTTTTACAGTAATATTTCTCTGGCTCACGTGCTCTTTCCCTCTTTCAGGTACATACACAAACCCTACCTTATTAGTGGAAGTAAGTTTGACTTAAGGATTTACGTTTATGTCACATGCTATGATCCACTTCGTATCTACTTATTCAAAGATGGACTTGTTCGTTTTGCCAGTTGCAAGTAGGTGCACTAAGAATTAGTTGCCTAAAATACGATGGGTATGAACTTGGGGAAAGGTTAAAAGCCATTTAAAAATCATTTAAAAATAAATTTGTGGATTGTAATTTTTTAAAGATGAAAGCATCCTGCTCTGTTCAGTAGTCTGCTTTCATTAACTGGTTTACTAAGTGGATGTTGAGAATCACTACTTGCTTGCATTGTGGAGCTGTAACTATGTACTATCTCTTGACATGGTTTTATTATCCTCGACTAGTGAAAACACAGTTTTACAAACCAATATGGTACATGTCTCAGCCACCACTGGCTTGACACCACAAGTGGTCCTGGTTTAAATGAGGACAGCAAGATGACACAGCGTGGGTTCTTGTCAGTTTATTACATTGCTGAGTTACATTAGTCCAGATTAAAGGGAATCTGATGCGATTACATTATGCAAGATGGTTTGTTAAATCAGACTTCTTTCTTTCTCACTTGGACACATGTGCACACTCACTTAGACTTGATAAGCAAGAAGAAGGGTGAATATCTTTTTAAAAGTGTGTGTTGTAGGTCTTCTTGCTATGAGGATTGATTTCTGTATTTCTATTTTTCAACGATTAATGGCATTTCACCAGTTCTTTGTTGTTCTTCTATCACAGATATTCCTCCTCCATGAAAAGCCTTAGCAACAAATTTATGCACTTGACCAATTACAGCATCAACAAGAAGAATATAGACTACAAGTCAAATGCAGATGAAAATGCTTGCCAAGGTCACAAATGGTGAGTATCCTACTATTCCAAGGCATTTAAGTAGCAGGGGTTGCCTTGCTTCTGTTGTCCAGAATTGAATCCTGTTCTTAATCTCACCTAAAGTAGCTTCATTGAATTAAAGAGACTACATACTTATATCCCCATACCAAAAAAGGGAAATGCAAAAGACTGCTCCAACTTCTGTACAGTGGCCCTTATTTCTCATGCCAGTAAAGTAATGCTCAAGATCCTGCAAGGAAGACTCCAGCAATACATGGAGCGAGAGCTGCCAGACGTTCAAGCTGGGTTTAGAAAAGGCAGAGGAACGAGAGACCAGATTGCCAATATCCGCTGGATAATGGAGAAAGGCAGGGAGTTTCAGAAAAACATCTATTTCTGCTTCATTGACTATTCTAAAGCCTTTGACTGTGTGGATCATAATAAATTGTGGCAAGTTCTTGGTGGGGTGGGCATACCAAGCCACCTTGTCTCTCTCCTGAGGAATCTGTACAAGGACCAAGTAGCAACAGTAAGAACTGACCACGGAACAACAGACTGGTTCAAGATTGGGAAAGGCGTACGGCAAGGCTGCATCCTCTCACCCAACCTTTTTAACGTGTATGCAGAACACATCATGCGATGTGCGGGGCTTGATGAATGCAAAGCTGGGGTGAAAATTGCTGGAAGAAACATTAACAACCTTAGATATGCAGATGACACCACTTTGATGGCCGAAAGTGAGGAGGAGCTGAGGAGCCTTCTAATCAAGGTGAAAGAAGAAAGCGCAAAAGCTGGGTTGCAGCTAAACATAAAAAAACCAAGATTATGGCAACAAGAATGATTGACAACTGGGAAATAGAGGGAGAAAATGTGGAGGCCGTGACAGACTTTGTATTTCTAGGTGCAAAGATTACTGCAGACGCAGACTGTGGCCAGGAAATCAGAAGACGCTTACTTCTTGGGAGGAGAGCAATGTCCAGTCTCGATAAAATAGTGAAGAGTAGAGACATCACACTGGCAACAAAGATCCGCCTAGTCAAAGCCATGGTATTCCCTGTAGTAACCTACGGATGTGAGAGCTGGACCTTAGGGAAGGCTGAGCGAAGGAAGATAGATGCTTTTGAACTGTGGTGTTGGAGGAAAGTTCTGAGAGTGCCTTGGACTGCGAGAAGATCCAACCAGTCCATCCTCCAGGAAATAAAGCCCGGCTGCTCACTGGAGGGAAGGATACTAGAGACAAAGTTGAAGTACTTTGGCCACATCATGAGGAGACAGCAAAGCCTAGAGAAGACAATTATGCTGGGGAAAGTGGAAGGCAAAAGGAAGAGGGGCCGACCAAGGGCAAATGGATGGATGGCATCCTTGGCCACATCATGAGGAAACAGGAAAGCCTAGAGAAGACAATTATGCTGGGGAAAGTGGAAGGCAAAAGGAAGAGGGGCCGACCAAGGGCAAGATGGATGGATGGCATCCTTGAAGTGACTGGACTGACCTTGAAGGAGCTGGGGGTGGTGACGGCTGACAGGGAGCTCTGGCGTGGACTGGTCCATGAGGTCACGAAGAGTCGGAGATGACTGAACGAATGAACAACAACAACAACAACACATACTGTATATACTCGAGTTTAAGCCTAGTTTTTCAGTCCTTTTTTTAGGCTGAAAAAGTCTCCCCTGGCTTATACTCGAGTCAATATTATTTATTATTTTACTTTGTTGTTGTTGTTGTTGTTATTATTATTATTATTATTATTATTATTATTATTATTATTATTACATTTATTATTTTATTGTTGTTATTATTACAACCAACATTGAGGGAAGTCAATAATAGTAAACTGCTTAAAGTGCAAAAGACAAAAAGGGAATACCGCAAAAACACAATCCAGAGCAGAAGAGAAAACTGGCGAAAGAAGGCTCTCCATGGACTGTTCCTGGGAATAATTGAGAGCCAAACTGACAAAGAAAAAAACATGGATGTGGCTCACAAATGGAACTTTGAAAAAGGAGACGGAGGGCTTGATTCTGGCAGCCGAAGAACAAGCCATTCCAACCAATGCCATCAAAGCCAGAAGTGAAAAGTCAACAACAGATCCCAAGTGTAGACTCTGCAAGGAAGCAGATGAAACAATAGATCACATCCTCAGCTGCTTCAAGAAGATCGCTCAGACAGACTACAAACAGAGGCATAACATTGTTGCTCAGATGATTCATTGGAACTTGTGCCACAAATACCATCTGCCTGCGACAAAGAACTGGTGGGATCACAAGCCTGAAAAAGTCACAGAAAATGAACACCTCAAACTACTCTGGGGCTTCCGAATTCAGACTGACAGAGTTTTGGAGCACAATACACCCAAACTCACAATCGTGTTAAAATACAAAGTATGGATAATTGATGTTGCAATCCCAGGTGACAGCAGGATTGAAGAGAAACAACTGGAAACTGATATGATATGAGGATTTAAAGATCGAACTGCAAAGACTCTGGCACAAGCCAGTAAAGGTGGTCCCAGTGATGATCAGCACACTGGGTGCAGTGCCTAAAGACCTTGGCCTGCACTTAAACACAATCGCCACTGACAAAATTACCATCTGCCACCTGCAGAAGGTCACCTTACTGGGATCTGCACGCATTATTCGCTGATACATCATGTGTCCGACATGTGATCCAATACAATAGCTAGCAGAGTGATCTTGTCTGCTGTGGACTCATCCTGTTGTGTTTCAAATAATATTTTTTAAAAATATGATTGGATTACTCAGGCTGTTTCTGACATTGTTAAATGCCTGATTTCAAGTTGTGAATATTTGCATGCAAAAGTTAAAATATAGGAGGAAAGCCAAAAAAAGAAATTTATTTTTAACTTTGCATTTTCAATAGAAAAAGAATAAACTGTAGTTTTAGTTCCAAAGAAAAACAAAATTCAGTGTTGCATTTTTGCTTGAGAATAGTGGTAGGGAAGAGGCTTAATGATCTTGTTTGTAATAATCCAACATCGAGCTACCACTGTTCTTCTGTTCTGTCTCCACAGGGCACTGAAGGCACTCTGGAACTATTTGAACCAAAAAGGAGTTGATAGTGACGTCATTTGGGAGAAAATAAAAGACATAGTTGTCAAAACTATTATTGCGTGAGTTTTACGGTGATGTTCTTGCACTGTTGTACTCTATTCTGTCTTATTGGTTAACTAAAGGGAGTGCTGACTTACTATGTACTTCTGGAATCAGATTCTTCCATTGTGTTCTGGAGTTCTTAGTTGATTTGTTTCAGAAAATGTAATTTGTCTAAGGTTGTCAGGCTGAAAACTGGAGATTGTGTAGAAGAGGGAATTCAGTAGGTGTTGCTTGTCATGCAACCAGGTAACAAGCAGCACTTGCTGAAATTCCCTCTTACACACAGCCATTAAAGGTACAGGAGATCTCTCTAATTTTCACTCTAGCCAACTTAATCTTGACCCACCCTACCATGTCCAGATCTCAATAACTTGAAGCAGTGTTATACTGCTTCCTGTGGAGAAGCTATTGGTGAAGCTTTGCTTCTATGACTCCCTTAACAAACAAACCAAAGATGCTGGAAAATTTTGTCTGTTGCATACTGGCTTTGCTGCTTGACAAGTACTCAGCACTTGTTCACCTTCCAGGTCAGAGTCCTATATTACCAACCTTGTGAAAATGTATGTGAGACGCCCTTACTGCTGCCATGAACTGTTTGGATTTGATGTCATGCTGGATGAGAACCTTAAGCCATGGATCCTGGAAGTCAATATCTCCCCCAGGTAAGCTGTATTCAATTCACCATTGAGATTAGGCCTGTCCCAGTATTTCATAGAATTGTCGATACTTACGATTACACCTAGTTTGTTTTACTAGATAAGATTATCCCTATTTTTGGTTGAAGACATTGTTTGTTTTGCCAAAGACATATCTGCATACTTGCAATTCCCACCTCTTGAAGTGAGGAAAGCAGGATGCGAGCTAGGAAGTGAGGTTGTAGATAAAAGAGTACCATTATTGCAATCATGATATACTGGTAGTTGTTGAGCTGCATTACTCTAAGCTTTACAGCTGAGTCAACCTCTCATATGGCTCTTTTCTTATGGAATCAGAGTTTTTCCTTGCTGGAGAATCAAAATAAGAGTTATCCTAAATGATGGTGCCAAGAGCAAAGAATATCCTGTCCCAATTTCCATTAACATGATCTTTCTCTTTGCAGCCTTCATTCAAACTCTCCTCTGGATGTGAGCATCAAGGGCCAAATGATCCGAGATGCCCTTAACTTAGGTGGCTTCATGTTGCCATGTCCAGAAGATGTGGCTTCACCCTCTGGAAGTGCTAGCAGCTCTACAACCAGGTCAGAAGTTACAGTTTACGAAGTCAGAAAGAGATTTTTTTTGTTATCTGTTTGTGCTTTTCCTTCTTGTTGCTATAATTAGAAGAACATTTCATCTGCAGCATAACCCATGGTTTAGTTCCAAAATATGAATTTGGCTATTTAGAGTCACAGTATGTCAGTATGGAAATGCAGTTCTGGAGTAATTCATTTGCCAAGAATATCTACTTTCTTTATTTGAAGGCAGATCCCTAGTCCCTGTGACTGCTGGTAGACTGCAGACTGTGCGATTGAAAATAGGTTGCAAGATAGCTAATCATGATCAACAGATTAATGCCATTGGTGTGCTTTCCTCTATCTCCGGGGTTAGCAGATGCTTAGTAAATCAGTGCTAGCTGGTGCTCAGTTGGGATGGTAAGCCAGAAAGCAGGGCAAATAGATAAAATTAAAGCCAAAGGGGTTGCAATGGGTGTAGTTTCCCTTACTTTGAAAAAGTGAAACTGAGGAATTGAAATTTTTGGGATGGCACATAGAAAGGAGAAATGAAATCAAAGTACCATCTTGAATCTAGAGCAGTGGTTCCCAACCTTTTATCCTCAAAGTGTTTTGGACTTCAGCTCCCACAGTTCCTAACAGCTGGTAAACTGGGATTTCTTGGAGTTGAAGCCCCAAACAACTAGAGGAGCAACTAAAGGTTGGAAACCACTGATCTAAATTCAAGATGCTACTTTGATATCAGGATGTGCACAGAATGCACAGAAAAGGAAAATGAAGACAAATTAAAATTGAAATGCTCACAAAGCACACTGAAAACTCTTGGGAAGGGATTAAAAAAACAAGAAGAGAAAAAGTCAGAGAGGAAAAACAGCAAGGGAGGAAAAGCAGCAAGGACTTAGATCATCCAGTACATACCCCATGATTATTCTTTCTCAACCAGGACACCTAAGTTATTAAAACAAAAAACAGAAGAACCAAAAAAGAGAGGAATACCTCCATTGATTGCTGTGGCTGCTGCTCAGTGGGTGGGGAATGGGTTAATTGGTGTTGGAGACTCTAGCTAGGGTGGTTGATGCAGTCACATTATGTATTAGTGAATTCCAGGGCTAGGAAAATGCGTCAAAACATTTTTAAAAGTGCTGTTTTTGAAAATGTTTAAAGAAGATTGCGTTTTGTAGAGGAGCAATATAGCTGTATGCTAAAAACAAAGGAAGAGCTCCCTTATGTAGAGCATTGGCCAACAATATTGTTTCAACAGCACTTTTCCACCAAATAAAATTGTGGTGTTGTTCTGAACATTTGCTCTTTTTTGAAGTAGTGATGGCTGTGCCCAGATCTGGTCTTCAAGCCCTGAAGTATGCCTGCCTTTAGAAACATGCTGTTTCAGTACTATATGCATGCAACTTCAAATATATTAAAATTTTTGCATGCTCTCTATTCTCCTTTACACCATATATAGACTGCTGAATTGCTGAATATTTTGCTTATAGGCTGTATAGAGGTTATTAACATGACAAAGTACCTTTCTCTCACCCACTAACTTCTTTTTATATTTGTGATCAGTATGAGTAGTGTTTCAAAGGACAAGATCAAGCCATCTGTGGAGTTGTTAACTGCTGAGAAAACAAAGAGAGCTTACTACCTGACTCAGAAAGTACCAGATCAGGTAGGTGGAGACATGGTTTCCCCGAAGTATGTGCCTCTCAGTCTGATATCATTTTAGAATGTTTTGGGGTCAGAATTCTGAAATGCTGCGTACATTATTACGCGCCCTTCCTTGGCTTTGGTGACGCTATATATATAATTTTATTAAGAGCTTTTTCAAGTACAGTACATTCAAATTCTACAAATACACGAAAAGAGAAAAATGACAAAAAGAAGTCCATTCTATCTTTATATTTAATTATTTCTCTAAAATAACTCCAATGTTTCTCTCATATTTCAGATTATAAAATGGTTTTCAAAAATATTACCAAGTCTGATTCTCATCTGTAACCATCTTGTACCCTAATTTTAACCAACTATTACTTCTTCCATTTCATTTTAAATTTGACTGTTGCCTCCTTTTTGCCCTTCCTGTCTCTCAGATTTAGTCTCAATCAGTCAGGTTCCCATGACAATTGACACATTTCCTTCTTGTTTTGTTGCTTTTTAAAAATTCTCTGCAAACGAGTCCCTGAAAATAAACGAGTATTTCTCAAACCAGATTTGACTTCACAGATCTGAAATAATTAAGCACCTGTGTTTTCCGTTAAGTATGAAGAGAATCAGCAACAAAATGGCTGATGATGCCTTCTGGTAGGCTGCCTACAGTGCACACTTGATCTCAACCCTGTTTTGCAGTTCCATTTCTCCCAAATATTTACAAGAAAACCCTGCTTTATCACCAGCAAAATATCCTATACATCAGGGCTGTCAAACTCATTTTAATAAAGGACCACATCAGCCTTCAAATGGCCATTGAATCATTGCATGTAAATACAGAAAGCCAACTTCATTTTTTTATGTAGTGTTTGGTGCTTTTTCATTTTTACCCAGTTAGGGTCCTCAGGTGTTACTGAATTACAACTCCCATCATTTTTGATTATCTGCCAGGTGGACTGGGGGTAATGGGAATTGCAGCCCAACAACACTTGTGACTCTGAGGTTGAGGAAAGATTAAAGGACATTTTAAAATCAGACATGATATCCACAAGTCTTATATCTAAATTCAGAGCCCACTATCCTGACTAAACAGAACAAACTGCAGCCTTCTAGATGTTACTATATTACAACTTCCATTGGTTTCAGTTATGATGTCTAATGAGGAGGAATATAGGAGTTGTAGTTCTGCATTGGGGGGGGGGACGACACATAAAATGACATGGAGAGCCCGACCCATTGGGAGGGTAGCCATTTTGCTGTTTTGCCCAGCCTAGTGCCTGTACAATAATTTCCAATTTGGAAGAGGAGCAGCTTTAAGTGATGGAATCAAATGAAAAGAGGCCAAAATGGAGTCGTGTGGCTAGTTGTAACTTCACCATGGCCAGACCTTTAAAGGAAGATATTTGCCATTACTATGAAAAAAGGTGTATGTGTGGAAAGAATGCAAACTTTGAAAAACCTTTTGAAAAACCAAAGTATTTTGCTATCCCTCCTTGCTACAGGATTTCTATGCCACCATCCTAGATGTCCTGACTCCAGATGATGTGCGAGTCCTGGTAGAGACAGAGGATGAGTTTGCGCGACGTGGGCAGTTTGAGCGTGTCTTCCCCTCCCGCATATCCATGCGCTACTTGCGCTTCTTTGAGCAGCCACGCTATTTCAACATCCTTACCACCCAATGGGAAATGAAATATTTCTTCAATAAGGCCAAAGGTAAACAAAGATCAATCACCTATATCTCAGGAGTGGTTTTAGAGCATGTCTTAGCCAATCCACCAACTGGACCCAAATGAAGAATGATGGCTTGTGAGCTAAACATAAGACTTAAAGAAGATACTTTAATAGCAATGCTGAATTTGTTCTTTTGTCCACAAATCCACTCTGGTTCTCCTTGCCAGTCATCCATTGCTTTCATAACCTAATCTAGGAGGGAAGCACTTTTAAAACTATTTGTCATTTCAGTGGTGTTGATAGCAGCAGCAGCAGTAGTTGTTCAGGAATCCTTGCCTATATATCACAAGACAATAGATCCTGTGTTGTACCAATAAATTGAGGTTTGTTTCTTGCTCAGTCCTGCTTTGTAGAATAATCAAGAAGACTTGGTTATGAATGAGTTAGATTATCCATCCATTCATATTAATTCATGAAGTTTTTAATCAAGAACTTTGTAGCATGGGTGAGCAACTGTCATAAATTAGGAAGTTAGATTGTTCAGCCTCCAAGACTTTGGAAGGATGTACCATATATACTCAACTATAATAAGCTGAGTTTTTCAGTCCTTTTTAAGGCGGAAAAACCCCCCTTGGCTTATACTCGAGTCAAGGTTATTTATTATTTTACTCAGTTGTTGTTGTTGTTGTTGTTACATTTATTATTTTACTCTATTATTATTACATTTACATCATTTTATTTATTATTATTATTACATTTGTTATTTTACTCTATTATTACTGTTATTATTACATTTCCATTATTTTACTCTATTATTACTATTTTATTACATTTATTATTTTACTTTCTTTATTATTATTGGAAGGATACATAAGCACATTTACATTGAAGAAGGTTAGAATAAGAGTTTAATCATAGTTGGACAGTCTTACCTTAAATTACAATGTTATGTAAATATTCAAAAACATTTAACCTACTGATGCCTCAATTAATGTAATTGTATTGGTATCTATTTTTATTTTGAAATTTACCAGCAGCTGCTGCATTTCTCACCCTCAGCTTATACTCGAGTCAATACATTTTCTCAATTTTTTGTGGTAAAATTAGATGCCTTGGCTTATATTTGGATTGGCTTATACTTGAGTATATATGGTACTTTCTTCTCAAAAACAACAGTTAAAAAATTCTCCCTAAAATTTTCCCCACACTTCTGTCAACATTGCCTTGTTTGTGTCATGCCCACTTTCCTCAGTAGAGACCTTGTTCTAACCAGGGAGTAAATTAGTTTTGTCCCCTTCTGAGTGTTGGGGGCATTTTAGCTACCTTTTTTTAATTGTGGAGGCCTGAGTGCCTCAAACATCCCCAGGGGTTGCAAGTAGCTTGTAGGCACTTTTCCAACTTTATATTATACTTATCATTATTACAATCTGCCATAGTTTGGCTTGGGCAGTGCTGTTTGTTAGATCTTTAGAGTAGAAATATCTTTCGTGTCCCTGCCTCAATTTCATGGGCTTATTTTAACCAATCCCTCACTCCAGCTCTTCATACAAGGTATTTTTTTAAGCGTGACTAGATACTTTTGTAATAACTTTCATAAGACAATTGTAATGTTGTAACTTGTTGTTAAAGTATGTGGTTATAAGTAAATTGCATGCATCCACTGCCTCTCTTCACCTTGCTTTGGAACACATTGCTTAATGTACCTAGAGACTTCATGTGCCCTTAAAATAAGTCCAATTGCTTATCTAGCATTACTCTTTTTTCATGAACTTGTGTCCATTATGTGGCTTTGCATTTTGCAGGAGTGGACCTGCTCAGAAGCTGGTGCCATAAAGGCTTTCACAATGGAATAGTGACAGATTCCACAGTGATGGTAAGAGTCGGCCTCTCATTGTAGCTTTGCTCTCCTTTGTTCTTTTTAAAGAATGCTTATTAAACATGTATATCTGTGTTTATGTATTTTTTTAAAAAATACTGGCCCAAAGCTCCTTTTTCTTCTTCCATGAGCTGTTTTCTTCTTTATTCTCTCCATTTCAGTGGACGCTGCCAAGACACCACCTCTTTTTGAAGAATGATCTCCATGTGAATGGCTTGACTAAGGTGGAGTCAGGCAAAACCAGGTGAGATATTATGAGATAATCAGATACCCTAGCTCCAGAAAGTTTGGTCATGGTTTTTCCTCTTTTCTCTGCAAGACTTTGCAATGGCAGAGAAAGACAGGAATGCCACTAAATTATCCTTCTCTTGTTCAACCATTTATTTATGCAAATTAACCATTGTTTCTCCTTATATCTAACAAGGACAGACTGTGGTTAGTTTGAATTATAGCATATTGAAGAAAATCAAAATCAGATTATGATTTCCTACCTTGGTCCATTTCAATATTTCAAGATGACAGCAGGATATAATGACAAACTGCAGCTGGCTTACAAAGAAATGAAATTATTCCAGTGTTCTTGAAGGTGGTAGAGGAGAGGGGAATAGTTTCTTGCCAAGGGTGGGAAAGATACAAGTTCAGCATTCCTTAGGAACTAAAACAATTATTTTTAAAAATGATGCCAAATTACTTCTAGGACACACAGGGGCAGTTTTGACATGTACATGGCTTCCACTAGTTCCATTTAAGTCCACAGATAATAATAACAACAACAACGACAACACTATTTATAGTCCACCCTATCTCTTCAAGGAGCAGATCACAGTACACATACATGGCAAACATTCAGTGTCATTTTTGATTAACAGGACAGAGACAGCCAGAACAGAAAGGAGGTATGTTGTGGACGTCCAGCTTTTTGACATTCGGAGGTTGTGCTCGAATCGAGCCAAAGGAGGGGGCTGTTGCTGCATCCTCTATGACAAAGAACCATCAGGACTTCCTCCTTCCTTTTCTGATCTTTTTCTTTATGGTGTCACAAAATACCCCCCCCCCTTCTTGTTTTAGCAATACCTAATTTCTCTACTTACCGCTCAAGCTGTTTTCAAACTGCTTAGGTAAACAGTAACTGGGCTGACAGGAGCTCAAGTCGACCTGGGACTTCGAACTGGCAACCTTTCGGTTGGTAGATTTTATCATTGCTGGTGATTTACCAGCTGTGCTAAAGCCCGGCACAAAGGCCACTTTTCTCTTAAAAATATGTGAATAGGAAATGGACTTTAAAAAAAATTCTTATGAGGGTGTATGTAACAGAGAGTACTCATTGAGATAATTTATTCACCTCTACACTAAACTAACTAGCATGAGACTTGAACTGGTTTGTTGTATGAGCATTCTTTCAGATTATTTCAGTATCTATCTGGTATAATCAAGTTGAAAGAATGCTAAAATATAAGTGCAAGGAAGCTATAGCCATAACAGTATAAGAATAAACTGTCTTCCCATTGGAGTGATGAAAAATGCTTCTAGGTATGCACACTCTTTTCTGTACTGCACGAGCACTGTGTGTGTGTGTATCTATCTGTCTGTGTCTCATATGATTGTATTTTTTATCCCCAGCAACAAAATCCTTGTCCAGCAAGAGGGAGAAGAGCCAGTCCGAAGCACTGAGCCAAATCCTTGTACTCAAAGCTTACCTCAGATTAAGTACACATCTGGAACTCTCAAGAAATCCACGATTCCTCGGGTCCTTAGCAATTCAAGCCTGATAAAGTGATGAGGGACCGAGGGAGTGGCCAACTTCCCTCCCTTGCAGTGTCAAGAGGGGGCACGCATGACCTACCTCAGTGGAAGCTTGGAGAGCCAGTGTCTGAAGCATGAAGAGGGTCTCTTCCAGCACAGCCACTACAGAACTATTTTTGGAAAGGGAATTGGGGGGAGAGAGGAGATGTTTTATGTGGTGAGGAGGGAAAAATACTCTGTTTATAGTTTTTTATGACAAAGGAAGTTTCTAAACACAGAAGCTTGAAAACCTATTCAATTTTAGTGTGAATTTCTTGTAGCCGATTGACCTTCCTATGTTCCTTCCTCACCTCTTGAGCCGTAAGTGCCTCTCAGGGTTTAGTGCCAAATGGTGTCAGTTTGTGAAGTGACTACCACAGGGCATGAGCTCTTATTTTTGCATGCATTTCCAGCAGAAACACATTCCTTGTTAACTTATCACTGTGGACAACAGCTTCTAAAAACATCTTATCTAATACTAGAAAATCAAACAATCTTAACAGAAATGAAGTGTTGACAGTGAGGGGGGTGGTGGATATTGATATTCTTAGTCTCTGCAAACATGTCTTGCATTGATGCAGTTGTTTTGTTCAGTCTTCCTGAGAAACTTGAGTTTATGAAATTATTTTTCAGGTATTTGTTACGGTATGTAGAAGAAATTCTGCGTTGGTCCCAGACATTATTGTGAAGTATAAGGGGAGCACTCATAATGCATGCTCTTATTTCCATACGGCAAAGGAAAGTGATTGTGTTTATTCATCCTAAGCAAGCATGTGATCCCTATAACACACTCCCAGTATCTTTCACAAAGAAGACTTCACTAAAATTTGGCACCAAATGTTGTTTGGGTGCAACATATGTTTTCAAGTACTTCAGTCTTGCTCACTCAGTGCTACTTCAAATTAGTTGGACAGTATCTTTTTCTTCCACTTGCTGCCGGAGACTTTGCCTCTTCAGTATTTTTCATAATTTGGCACATTTTACAGCCTGAATCTGGATGGTAGCATTAAATATGTTTTCCAGTTGTTTACACATTCCTGGGATGTGTTGGTAAACTTAGCACTTCTTATCCTGAAAACCATGCACTTTTAGCCAGCCTGGGCTGTTTACTTTCTTGATGCAAAGGCAATGATAGACTGGTATGATGATCTACTTGACATCTGAGATCTTCACACTTAAGAGCATTTCCCATCTGTGCACCAATGCTACTTGTAGGAAGCGGCGAAATTCTTTCAGAGTAGTCAGAGTCTTGAGGGTGAGCTTTGGCTTCAAGATAACTTTTTATGAACTGATGGAAAGAAATTCCACTCCAGAAATGGTTGTTGGCATGACCAATTGAGTTGGGTAACTTTTGCCAAGTCTTCCATTATTGTTCCCAGGTAGCAGTAATGATAGGTTCTGAACCTGCGGGAGCATGGTTTGTCACACTGACAAAAACAGGCAAGGAAAAAAGGAAGTGATGGCTCTGGAGATGTAGCTGTCAAGTGGCTTGCTTCTTCATTGGTCATGGCAGTGCTTATGAATCACAGCACTAGATAATTAAATTGTGTGAAGGATGAAACATGTACCCCTGTAATACAGTGGTATCTGACCCGAGAGTATTCCAGTATTACAGAGTTATTTCTGACTTCATTCCTGTTTGTGAAACATAAGGGGTGGATTAAACTACTGTGTTGGAAATTGTCCCCTGGAATGAGAGCCCCTAATCATGTAACGTTACAGTAATAGAGGGCCTGTTTCTTGCTACAGCAGCCCCACTGGATAACTCTTGGGAGCAAGAGCATTATGTAAACATACTAAAAATTTGACACATTGGGCCTAAGCCATAATAGAAGCAGTGGTCCTTATATGATGGCAGGGATGTGGTTGCCTGAATTCTTTCTACACTGTTGAGTAGACTGTGATTACCTCTGTGTTTTTTCCTGCTTTATCATGACAGAAGCACAAGTATTAAATTAATCTTAAATAGTGAGGCCTTTTTGGTGTGATATACTGAATTAAACCTCATTTTCTCTTTGGCTTATTACTTCCAGTTCCTTAAATTCATCATAACTTGTTTCCACATCTGTTCTTTTTATGTTTTATTTGTTTGTTCTTCCTTTGTACATTTGTTTGTCATTGAAATGGCTGCAGGGTGTGAGCTCATTGGAGCTGGAGGGGGTCAGCTGCTAAAAAATGAGTCCTAGACATATTCCTGGCTGTTAGCATCAATAGTGGGCAAGTATTGGCTTTCTTTGCAGAGCATTGTGAAAAAAAGGAAATGATGTGGTTGTACTAAGCTTTTTGACTTCTCTTCAAAATGCCAGATAGTCTAAAGAGACTTGGGTTTTAGCTGACTAAGCACACTCTTAAGGTCAAGTGGTTGTGATTCTGGTGAAGCTATGAACTAGCATAGACCCTCAAAATCAATTTCTATTATGCCGTCAAACAAGACTGGTGGAAAATTGCATCCAAATGTTAATGTTGTCAATATATAGGTGGCTTTAATCTTGTGAAAACTTGTTTCTTTGTTTTCTGGGTCCATGAACAAGTAAGCTTCCTGATCCAGTTTCTCTGTGTGGAACCAGCCTATGTGTCAGCCCTGCAACTGGGTTTTTATTTCCTTCAACTGAAAACTGAGTACGATGTCCCCTTTCTTGTGCTCCACAGGGGGTTGGGGATGTTGCCTAATATGACTTACTGAAATCCCATAGCAGCCACCCTTGTGAACTAGCCTGCCCCTTGGGATTGTATCAAATGACCCAAAATAGCTAGCTGTGTAGAAATAGGAAAGTGGAGAGGCCTCTTCGGGTGTCATAAGGAATTCCCCCAGCTGACAGTCTCCCAGAACTGCCTTATACTCTGAACACTGCTGTCCACCCTTGCTCATAACTCAAGTAATTACTAGCAAACAGGTGCCCAGTACTCCTATATGCTTGCAGCCACTGATACTGGTTTTTCCACCATCTCAAAATAAAAAAAAAAACGGGTTTAGTTTACTTAAATAGAAGATAAGCCTTCTTGGCGTCCTTCCTCATTTCAGGATTGAAATCCGTGTAGCTGGTATCAACCTACAGAAAACTACTAACTTCACTGGAAGATTCTTTTCCTTTTCATACTCAAGCTGAAATGGCAACTAAAGCTATACCAAGTAGTGATGAATCTTTTCAAAGTGTGTGAGAGAAAGATGCAGAGCATGGTAAAAATGTCCCCATAAACCCTACTATTTACCAAGGTAATTCTACTGCTGTTGCCACCACTCTCATCATAATTTTGATTCATACTCTGGTCTTCCTCATAGGAGCTTAGGGCAGATTCTATAAGTAAATTTCTGTTTAAGGCCTTGATCCCAATCTGTCAAATTATCTTAGGTTTTTCTACAATAGTCTTGAGTCTTTGGAGAACTACAACATCATCTATTTTCAGCATAGTATTCTTTAGAGTTCTTGAGAAGAATTTGTCATTTCTACGTCCTTTTGCGCATAGTTAATGCAAAACCGAGATATAGAGAATCAAATGAACTGAGGTTAAAATGAGTGATGAGAGAATATAAAAAGCATATACTTCTATATTAGTGGTTCTCAGCCTGTGGGTCCCCAGATGTTTTGACCTTCAATTTCCAGAAGTCCTAACAGCTGGTAAACTGGTTGGGATTCTTGGGAGTTGTACTCCAAAACACCTGGGGACCCACAGATTGAGAAACACTGTTCTAGATAAACCTAAGCAACAGCTGTTCAAGCTTTAGAGTCACAAAAAGCTTTGCAGATCTTGAAAGTATGAGAGCTGTTGTATTGGTAGGTTACATACCTGTGACCATCTTTCTTCGAGTGGTGCTCTGCGAATTCACACTTGTGGAGA